GTCGGCTATTTTAGAGTGGGTTGAGGCGAAGAAGCTCCGTAGCGACATATACGCTAGCGGCGATCTCATTGACAGCGCCATATCGAAGAAAAAGATTGACATCGAAAAATGCTTTTTTATTCTTATGAATGGTCTTGCACAGGGTCCCGCCGACCATCTTGGGAACTATCCCCCAAAGGTGTCCAAGGACCAGTTTATCAGATTGTGGGAGAGCAGATCACGAGCGGCCCTATCAATCGATACACGAATAATTCGGGATAAAGTGAAGAAAGATGCAACATCCAAGTTTCTTGCTTTATCTCAAGCTCTCTTTGTGTTTGTTCAGTGCCTCATGCGCCTTCTCCATGGCTGTTCTAGAGCGTCATGTCATGATTCAGGTGATTTTTTTTTTTTTTTTTTTTTTTAAATCATGTAGTTTTAATTGATTCTAGGTACAAAACTCTGCATGCAGTCATAGACTATGGCATGAAAATACCTCTCCCTGGCTTGAAAAACAAATATCACGACCCCAGAGGAACAAAGGAAATATAAAGAAAGGGTTACTGCGCTAACATACTGACTGGCTGACGGCAAGGAGAACAGCAATCTTTGGCGGTCCATATCCGACATAAGAAATCCTTCCTGCTGGTTTTAAATAACCTGTTGCCCTTTAAGGGTCTTGTGGGTGTGGAGTTCCGTGTTGTGGTGGTGGTTTGCATTGGCTAGGTGGAGGAGGGTTGGCTAGGTGGAGGAGGGGGGGGAGCTGAGGGAGCTTGACGTCTCAGATCCGGACAGGAGGGGGGAGATGTGTTCCTTCCTAGGGAAGTTCGTTTTGGTGGCGGTGATGAAGGCTCCTAGAGCGAGTGTGTTGGTGTGGTTGCTCCAGATCTCTTCAAGGGTGCTAATTCCTGGGAGGAGTTGGGAGCGCTGGGCTGCTTTTGCTCGGCATGAGAGGATGGCGTGTTCGGTGGTTTCATGATTCAGGTGATCTGCATGGCTATCGTATACGGCTTTTGGTGGTACAAGACTCAAGGCATAACTACAGCCACCCCAATTTCTGAGAGAAACACGGATGGGTTGTTGGCCTTTTGATGAGGTGATGCTGTGTATGCCAGTGCCAGGATCGGTGGAATGAAGCTCTCTCTGATGTTGATGGAGGAAGGTGGGGTATTTCCGACGACTCTTTCTCTAGGCGACTCTTCATACCATTACCCAGCAGGCCAACCTCGGTTATTTTCATTTCACGGGCCAGACAAAACCATGAAAGACAAACGGGTCTCAACCACGATGGCTCAGTCACCATCTATGAAAATGAGTTCTTGATGCAACCGAATCTCCTTTGTATTCGAAGCGTCTATTATCCGTGCTCGCGAACCGCCTGGGACACCGGCAAAGTCGACGGTCGCACACTCGATCTACTCGTTCGCAAGGCTCATGCGATTAGAAAAGAATCGTTAAAGTTCCGCGAGGGTACGATAGGTGGGAGGCCCCAGTCTAAAAGATGTTTTTGGGAAGAGACATACAGCCAGGGTATCCCTACTCTCTTAAGCGAAGTTAGTGCCTATGTTGACGACCAGGCAACGGGAAACATGATGCTGCTTTGTGCATACGGTGCTATCCATTGTGCAGCATGGAATTTCTATTTTCCCACAGTCATTGAGATGCTCCTGTGGCGTGGTGTCTGCTTGGCATTGATTTGTTTGCCGTTCATACCACTTCTTCACGCATTTTTCTTTAAACTCCCGTACATCAACAGAGTGGAGGAAAGGACAGTGGACAGATTAAACAAACTCACCGGTAACTTAATTAGTTTCTTTATCTTCTTGTGTAGACTCTACATAATGATGGAGCCATTCGTAAGTTCGAGACACCTTCCGGCAGACGCCTATCGGACTGTGGCGTGGGAAAGTTTTTGGCCCCATCTATAGATACAAATCTTGATTGTGAAGATGAAATTTGAATACGGGCTATTGGCCGTAGGATATAATGGGAAGTCATGGGAATTGACCGTTGGATATAATGGGAAGTCATGGGAATTGAGTTTATTCTCGTCTGTAAGAATGGTAGGTTTTTTAGTGGGGCTTAGAATTGTAGTTAGTATAAACTGAAGGGGAATTGGTGAAATAAGCGGTCACATGAGTGGTAGAAGGTCTGGTGTCGGAAGTAAGGGCATGCGCTTGACTAGGGGTGGTCGGCGCTAAAATGTAGTGGCCGGTACCAGAAAGAAGGAAGGGGAAGATAACTGCTGGGAGAATCCACATGTATTGTAATTGCAGATTAGTTTGTAAGGAGCTCTGGAACCTATTTACTTGGACATGATATCGTCAGACTTCTGTTACCACCCACTACCATCCAAAGGCGTGACCTTTAACATATTGGATAATGTAGTGCTCGACTTCTTACACTATAAATATTAGGCTACGGTGATCTCGTGCCCATTTTGCTACCTGTCTGAACGGAGGTATATATAGGAGTTAGATTTGTAATATGGAAGACTCATAACTCAGTTTCATTTTCTTCGAAACTCCACTCTGTCAAAGAGGTCTGGGTTCGGACAGCCGAGTTTGTGGCTTCGTTAAGGCATTAGAGCAGAGTTTTTGAAACGTAAGCTACTTTTCGCTGTTGTAGACATAAATCCCAAACCCTACTACCAAAATCAACTTAACAATCAGGCCAAGTAAACTACAACTCTGTTTCAAAAAACCTATATCTACCACCACCTAACAGAGCAATTACTAAACCGAATTTGACACCTCCATTAGACATTCTAAGTCGAATGTAGTTGTATATATCGCAAACTTCAAGAATTAAACTGTCCTATGCATAGGGTCGGGATTCTTGGCGTTTGCCTTTATGAAATATGTCCAGTGACGATGTTCAGGCATATTTTTGCTGTGTAAATACCTTTTGACAACCTCTTTCCTCGCCAAATCTAAAGTGATCGAACTACGAAATGAACTCTCTCTGAGAACAAGACCTTGACCAGGACATGTATATGCTTCATGGGATAGGGTTGATGATCGAGTGTCACACCTCCGTTCTCGCTGGTAGAGATGGGCACAGCCCCAAACAAAACAAAACTAAAACAGAATATAATCTCCCTTTGATTGTCCTTTGCTGATGGATAAGGGTAGTCTTTCAAAGGTGCGCTGGGACGGGTTTAGTGAAGGTTAGGGTCTTAATGATGAGTTTGAGTGAGGATTGTGGTTTAAGGCTTGAAAATAAATAAGTTATCATTAGAAAAGAAGTCCTAAGACTTTTATAAAATATTCTCGAGGCTTGGTATATTTAGCGTTATTTTCTCTCCCCTTGTTCAAAGTCTCGCGATGGAGAAGAAATCTCGCCGGATCTTATCTTATGCCCATCGCGAGGAGCCAGTGTTTGGGATAAAACTAAAAGCGTTGGGTGAGATGAGAGATACACTTACTTCGGTATCCCCCTACAGCCCCGTGGTAATATAGGTGTATAGATAAAGCACTAGCTACGGTTATCGCACATGACGGTACCTTAAGGGAGTCTTATAACTTTTGAGTATTTATAACCAGATTTAGCTCTGATCTACCTGCATGTAATTAATGAATTAAATAAAAAAAAAAAAAAAAAAAAAAGCTCTGATCCACCGAAACTGAAGTCGCCAATAAGTAATGATGTATGAGCACGCGCGGTTTCTCCCACACTATTTCTCGATAGATAGCCAATTACTTCATCCGAGCTCCTTCGTTAAGAAAACATTGGATTTGATATCACCATGTGGGACACAGCTATCTCAATCCGAACGTCATCATTTTTTAACGTTTGATCAATCTTATGCGGGGCCGGAAGTTCGGCAACATCGAGTGCTATCAGCTTTCTTTCCTTGACAACTGCCATAAAGAACACTATTTCCTATATGTACCCACTCTTGAGTCAGGATGAATAAAACTAGCCAAAACCCGCCAACAATACAACACCAAGGCTCCGTGCTTCAACCTTTCATTCCCAGAGAAAAGCGTGATATTGGTACACAGAGTATGAGTTAAAGTATAGGTCTTCGCCTAGCCAAGGCCTAGGTGTTAACTCCATTCTCTGCGCGGGTCGTTTTGTCCCCTTGTACTGCTTGCGTCTTGGCGTCTTGGCACAACGTCGATATGCCAAGCATCTAACGACTTCTCTAACATTGTCAAGGAAGTTGGGAATGCATGAGTGTGATATCTTTCCTGGCTGCCTGAGATACGTTCATATGTGATTGGTGGGAAATGCGTAGCTATCAAGATAAATGGCACTCCCGGAAAACTTCATTCTCACGCTTCGTTACATGTACTGTTCCCAATGTCGGTATAGTCGATCCATTGAATGGGAGAAGACTTCGGAGGGATTAAAATTTACTTTATACGAGGAAGGGGGGGACAGTTCATGTACGTAGCGTTCTTTTTTATCTCTTTTCTCACGGTGGTGGCGTACATGTAAGCGAAAAAGGCATCAAGTTGTGGTTTACGGAAGCATGTAAATTGAAGTAATACCCGGACCCGCAATAGGAGAGGTTTAGCTGTTTATTTTTTTCTCTTTTTTTTTTCCTTCTTTCTTTTTCTTTTTTCCTCACGACCGAACGAAAAACAAAGACGATGAAAAACCGTTATAATTGAACTTTCACAGGTAGCTGCCAAACGTCATATGATACTGAGAAACAAGTATCGAACAGGAAATCTGAAACCAAAAGAAACCGAAATCCACCTTAATCCCGACGCCCAACCATCCCACAAAATTCCATTCCGAACCATAACCTTGACCAAACTTGAAGACATTATAGCCACTAGTTAGCAGTTATTTGAGGTGATTAAAGTGAGGCAAGACACGAACTACCTTTGAAAAACCTAACACACACATAAGGACCCGATTTATTCCCCCATTATTTGACTTGGAACCTATGGGTATTTGTTAGAGTGAACTGTCATGATGAGTGGAGGGAAAAGAAAACTCACCACTCGCAGTGGCAGAATATGAACAGGGTTATGTTTGAGACCTCATGAAGAGGCAAATCAAGCCTACTGCTGGGTCGAAGCCTCCGCCTTAAGAAGACGCAACTCCTCATCGTATTTCCTGATGAGAGGTTTGAGGTCCATGACCTTGTTGAAGAGAGAACTGCGTTCTTTCTGCAGCTGGGCTGCCTGAGCCGAGGTGAGCTCATTGTCATCCTCATGCAAGTCGATGCTGATCTTGTCGATGGACGCCCAGTATTGGTCGTTGAGGACCAAGATCTCCGCAATCTTGCTGTCCAATTCGCACATCTTTTCCTGCCTGGTTTGCTCGTGGATAGTGTCGGACATGTTTGGGGAAAGAAAAAAAATAGTTTTGTTCGAAAGGGTATTGAGGAGGGAAAAAAAATATTTTTTAAAAAGATATTGTGAGGAAAGGTTGTTGACAGAAAGTATTGCTGAAGGAGGGAAGTCACAAGCTTTTGTGTTGTGCGTGGAGATTGTCTTGGTGAAGGTGGGTTGTGTATGTTGGCGGGCGACAGCCGGTTACTTATACCATTTGGCTTACCCTGAGATTTGGATGAGCAAAACGCACCTCGTGCTGGCAATTTTTCACAAGTGAAGGTCAGCTGGTAAGAGGGAGATTAAGTTTTCCAAAGTCGAATTCGGAAGGAAAAGTTGGAGTCTTTCGTTTCTGCAGACTTTTTTCGGGGGGAATTTCCCGCGCATATTTATGTCACAAGTAAATTCACCGCTGAAAATAGCGTACTCTATGTACCCTCCACACAGACGCGGTTACAGTGTGGCATAACGTAAGTTATTAAACCTATAGGCATAGCTGAACACGATCATTCCATGACTGATAGTGTGGACATCTCTGAGTATTGCAATATTTTCACAGCCTTTTAATCATTGACATTTTGACCGCTCACTTATTCCTTCTCACAAGTCTTCACCTACGTATCACCAAGTAGTAATTGCAACTAACATACTTCATCATACGTTCTCTTCATCCACACCCTATTTTAAGGTCACTGCTATAGACAGAATACCCGCGGCATGAAAACCTAACCCTACGATTTTACACTCCCGGCCAGCTTCCCTACGAAAGGGTTTCTCTTCGCTATTCGCTACTCGTCCGAGGGCATCCTGTATTATACACCCCTCTATATTACGGCATGTGCATGATATTACTATCTGATCCTTCATCTTCAGCTATCGATCTACATCTCTATTGTTATATGTGTTGAGAGTTTACTACTGTCTTATCGATCTCTGGGCTCCGCCGCTCGCTGCTGAGTCCTCACCAGACCATCTCCTACATCCTGAATTATATCATTTTATCGCATATTACTTTAACCCCTCTCACTAATTCAACGACGTATAGATGTTCGTGTCCCTGTCCCATTGTACCGAGTGATAATCCATGATGCATATTACAAGCGCTAACTAATCAGACAAGCCTTCGAGGGAGTGAGACACAGAGACCACTAGGTATAATATTCTATATATTGATATCCAAAGAACTAGGTTTGAACCATTCCGACTACCTCCTACAAGGGCTTTAATGGAAACTACCGCCGCGCCACCACACAAGTCGGCACTCTTGCCCGCCACCCCAGGGAGTTGGAAACCCGAAAACTATAAGAGATGGCCCAAGCCTAAAGGTAGATCACAGCCTTAACCACAGCTGCCCTTAGGCTTTCAATGCGGAGTGGTTAGTTAAGAAACGTTAATTATTGTACAGTACGATGCCAGCCGTGAGGGTCAGGCGCAGCGTCGCAACGCCCCCCGAACAATCACGGGTACCAGCACAGCAACCACAATTGATCCTTTGGAGAGCTGAATTTTTGTATAGTTGTTAAATAGTAGATAAATAACAATAATTTGACATTTAATATCTTGTGTACCAACCTGCCGTGAAAAGGTTGTGGAAATCTGGTTGCGCGCGCGGCGTTGCGACGCCGCGCCTGACCCTCACGACTGGCATCGTACTGTACATTGGTATCCCATAAACCGTAGCTCGTTGAGGTCCCAATCGGGTCCTTTACAACGGGTGCCCGCGCGCGTATCACAACCACGGGTTCGAATTATATAGAGTTTTATTCAACGAATTACATAGTTACAGAGGAATGAAAGGTAATAAAACAATTGCGATCACTACTAAGACAAAGAGGCTCATCACATGTTAAGCATTTATATCTAGTTCTACCAACAACCCTTTTCTTTGAGTCCTTTTCTAGTCTACTGGACCACCTGCACTGAACGCAGTCTCTCCGCTCATCAACATGAACAGGAATGTGTTCACCATGCTGAAAGGGACGTGGTGCATCAGTAGAGTGTTCGCTTATGTGCCGAGTCTTTTTCTGGTTTTGCTTTTGGGTTGTTGGCGGTTCCTTTCTCTTCTGTACAGCGCCTTTCAATATCAAATCCCAACCAACCCGCATCCTAAATTCCTTATGAGATAAGTCCTTTTCCGCACTTGCATGATCTCCGTATATGATATAGGAATTAATAAGTATTGTATCCAATACCCAGAAGAAAATTGGATACCAAGTTCTTCTTGATATCATATGTGTAGCATAATAGGACCGGAGTTGGTCTGCAATATCAACACCATTCATATTGAAATTATAATCATATATGCATAATGGAATTGGAAGATTTGCTTTCCACTGCCCCTCTGCTGGCCAGAAATTCGAGGTTTTTACACCTGCCGCATTGGTGCTTTTCGGACCGGGTTTTTTTCGATCTGTGAATATTTCAGAGGAGCGGCCAGTAGTAGGATGCATAGTAGTCATGACTAGTACAGGCGCTGAATCCATCCAAAGCATGATAGCAACGCCATTGACAACAAGTGATGTCTTCCAGTGATATGGTAGTTTCGAATTTTTAGGTATTGATAGTTCGGTAGGGAAGTCTTTAGAGTTGGAGCGGGCCGTTCCACATGCTCCAACTCCAAGGCGTATTCTGAGTGCGGAAAAGAGGGGTAAATTTGTATAGAAATTATCCATAAAAACATCAAAAGATTGATCCAGGCCATACTCCTCACAATTGCGTTGCATGAGGTGAAAAACTAATCGGCTAGTAGCGCTCATCTCATCCACCTCGGGAAACCCAGAGGACGGTATTGGGTCAGGGCCAGAATGGTTCGATGTCGGGAAAAAATCATAAACATAACCGGCAGCTGCATAGCAATGGAACTTATAACCTTGATCAATCGGTTTACTAGGCATTTTGTACGTATCTTTAGAATGACCGGTGCATTGTATCATAGCTTCGTCAATTGACACCTTTGTTGGTGGGCGTCGGTACTTCCGTGATGCAGCCCGTAATTGATTCAAGAGGGGGTCAACTTTTGAGTGCCAAAGACGTCGTCCTGATGTAGTTTCCTTTGGTGCCTCGGGATGTGCAACGTGGAAATATCTCCGGATTTGTTCGAAGCGTGTAAGAGACATGTAATTTCTAATATGATGCAACGGATAAAGACCATTATTTTTCCAGTAGTCTTCCACGGCTGGCATACGGCAAACTCCCATGTAAATAATGATTCCGAACCATGTCTTCATTTCTTCTAAAAACACTGGCCTCCACCCACGTCCCTCTAGTCCAGCATCCTTCGTTGTAGCATAGCAATTGGTATTGAATGCAATTTCTGACATCAAAGTATCGGTGAGGAAAAGATTGACAATTGTACTGGGCTCAATAACTTTTGACTGTTGCAACCGGCGTGGCAGAAGATTCTGTGCCACTCTAGGAGGTTTTGAGTGTCTAATAGGTGAGAAGGGGGTTGATTTAGGGAGTGTATTCTCCAATGGGGGTGGTGAGTGAGATCTGGTGACCGGGATTTTGAGTATCTTTGTAGACTTATATTTTTTCCCTTTGGAGGCGGGTACTTCTGGGTCTTTTTCAGATGTCTCTAGCGAGTAGGAAAGATTAAGATTACGGGGGCGTAGAGCTCTAGAGGCCATGGTGGGCAAATTGAATGATATCGCTGCTGTTCAATTATTTTGTATGGAAAATCACCCTCCCCAACTGTTCAATTTATACACTCAAGAACCCCTCTAATTTCGAATTCTTATTATTATTATTATCATTGCTACCTACTCCATCATACATACAGTATAATGACATAACTTTCTTGTGGTGCTGGTTGACAAAGTGCGAGGGAGAATAGGGCCGTTGATATCATCACCCGATTGGGTCCTCAACTCCGTTGCTACGGTTCATGGGATACGCTTCAGTAACCGAGAATCCGGATTTAATTGCTCATAGTGGGTGTAACGTTGAATTTTGCCAAGCTCCACACAAACGGAGGTCTTGATACAAGTTTTAGGATTCTCCCTAGAAGGATGCGATAACCTGTGCGAGAAGCAACGTTAGTAAACGCCCCCGTCTAGCATTCATATGTACTGTACCGTCAAATTAATCATCATATTCGCGCAAAAAGCAACGAATCACATCGGGGTCTGCCGAGACATGAAGTTTACCGAGAGCGGAAAGCACCTCTCTAATATTGAGTGAATAGATAGAGATAAGTAGGACCAGACTCGGTTCAAGAGCTATGTGTACACCAGAGCTATTGAAGGAATTGGATGGAGAAGAGTTGTGTGGAATCTACGAAGCCCTACACAATTCGAGGCGGGTATTTCATGTAGATTGATGTTTTTACCAGAGATGGCACGTATTATGGTTATAAATGACATCAATTTGTCTTTGGTTTCAAGGCGGTTTTTTTGATGCAGATCACCAAGAAATCGAAATCGAAAACCAGTTGACCCCGCAAGATATGGCCACTTTCCCCCCGCCAAGCTAGCTGGACCCAGAATTTAAAGGGTATACAATGTTTGCAAGAGATATTATTATTATTAATTGTGACCAAAAATAATTTTTTTTAACGATAGAACCCTGGTGAGTATTATATATATAGCAAAGTTTATTGCCAGGTTGAGAGTGGCGATGTAAACTATTGCTGCTTTAAGGTTACTCGGTATAGTATTCGCCACTAAATCTTATGCACTATGAGGAAGAACTGTGCTATAGACACTAGACATCGAAATTCTCCTAATCCGGCTTGACTAACTAATCTAGGTGTTTATATGGCGCAAACAAGTCTGTTCAGATGCTATGCTAGTTTGCAGTACAAAGAGCATGGAACTGGTACAGCGGGAATTTCTACTGGGTCAGAAACAATAATTTCATAGGATTAGCTACTGTACAACTGCGGCCACCAACCAGCACCTTAATATGCTGCTATGTCATGGATCGGTGGGGGGAGGTAGAGCGATTCGTCTAGCGAGTCGGTTCCGCGCGAGTAGGTTCTGAGCGCTAAACATGGCTTTTCACATCACCATAGCGTTGCGAATGTTTAGCACACATAATTACAGGACACGATGAATACCGGTGAAAGGTAACCCGGGGTCGACGGAGGTGCATCATGACATATCACTCGATATCGTTTGCCAAACGTATGTATGTTAAAATCGGGCTTCCGAGCTAGGAGCCCTTGTTATTATGAGTTCACCGAGTGCTCCCAGCCAAGACTACATGGTGTCTACATGGATTGCTATGAGTATTAATTGATATTGCTATGGTTCCCGGAGATGGTGGACGGGAGGAGGGAATGGGCTTCGTCTGGGATCTGGGTTGATGAATAGGGTGGTAAACGCAAGTTGATGTCAGAAATAAGAACTTCCAATAAGTACAGGGCGCTGATCGAGGTAAAGCCTTGCTATAAACAGATATATAATTATAAATTCGACCTTTCTGACTCAAGTTTGTAGTTACGTGGTCAAGGCCAATTCATATTTCTGAAAACGGTCTGGTCCAGTCCGGAGCGAGTTTTTGAACTAGTCCTCGCCACTTCAATTCATACCAGTGGTAGTGGCAGTTGCAATGGACGCGGACGATACACTAGCTTACTATAAGGACGATCGAAGTTCTCTTTATTTCCCCAATGTGACGACGTGATATTTCTATTTGACTGATTGAACTTGATACTCCAACGGATGTGTATACCGGGATACACTCACAGTAACTTTAGGTGTAGTACAAGGCTTCATGGCATCACTACTCACTGCAAGATCAAACGTCCCTGCGATCGTAGACACCATCATAAAAGCATCATCATGATCATCGCCTAGTGATAATCGTCTCAAATCACAACAACCGAGCGATCACTACACCGCAAAGTGTCCCTTGGACATTCACGAAGCATGAAAACGATAAACTCTACCAGCAAATAATTTAATCTGTAAAATCTTGCTGAAATACCTCCACTGCACTACCCCCGGACGAAAGCCTTGTGCAACAAAAACATTCCGACCGCCGATAGCGACGGGAACTTCCCTCTTTATATACCGTGCTTCCAAAACCGATCCCCGCTTAAATACCCAAGAATTTCAGCATCAACTTCAAATGTAATGATTCAAATATGGTCCTCGACCTCACTTTAATCGCAGTCTATCACTCGCCGCGTGAGATCTCATGAATATCCCGCCCTCCCCTCATCTACTACCGCACCTCCGGCGTCAAATCGCCAGTATTCATCCGCACTGGATAGAGACACGCGACAGAAGAGTATCAGTTGGGGCGGAGGTGGTGTTGTGAAGACGGTTTGGTTTAATTTGGTTTGGATTGCTTACTACTAGCTAGGCGGAGTGGACATGAGCAGCGGGAGTGGCAGATAGAAGCCGGGGGTTTACAGAGAGAATGACTACCGGCCTGTGCTGTCTTGGTATGGCAGGGTAGAAGACCTATGAAATTGTGCAAGGGTTTTTGAATTATGGAAATGTCATGGAAGTAATTACGAACATGCTATCAAACCAAACCCGGACCCAAACCCAAACCACCAAAACAAAACAAAAGAAAACGTGAAAGCCCAACGCCACAGCCCCATAGCCACCTACGGTGCCCTGAACGCAACCCAAACCAGGAGCTAAACAAACCAAAAGAAAAAAAAAACGAAATAAAAAAAAGAAAATAAAGCCAAAATTAATTAACACTCTAATTCGCCTTTTCTAAAAACGTACCCGTCCAACCCGGCCATACGTACTCCCCACTCCTTCCACCCCCTCCTCCCCCTCACCAGCCCCCACCGCTCCTCCTCCCGCATCCCGCACTCGCCCATCACGACCGCCACCTTTCCCGGCCTCCCTCCATCCTCTTCCACCTCCCCTCCTTCCCGACCCCCCTCTTCAACATTTCCGACGTGCACTTCTTCAAAGGCAGGTCCGTACCCCCGTTCCCTACTTCTACCCCTACCCAGCTCAGCCTCTGTCCCAGTACCTGTTCCCGACCACGCACCCACCACTTCTCCAAGCTCACTCCCCCCCTCCTCCTAGATCCTCCCCCCCCACGGCACCACCAACCACCCTGCCACCGCCCTGATGCGCCTCACGCACCCACAGTATATGCAACTACAACAACAGCGGCCACACCGGCGGGAGCGACCTACATGCTCGATCGCAGCTCTAGCGGCGTGCTAGAGGTGTAGGTGTAGCGGGAGAGAGGGAGGAGGTACGGCCGGGAAGTGCAGCGTTATGTCATACTGGGGGGGGGGGGGGTTGTTAGCTGTGGTAGTGGGGTAGTCAGGGTGGAAGGGAAGAGGGATTGCTTACGCTGCTCACAATGCTGGCGTCGTAGTCGCCGCTCCATGTGCCGGAGTAAGGCACCGGCGCCATCTCGATCGCGCCAGTGTCAAAATAGCTATGCGAACGCGCTTCGAGGGTGACGATTCGCTAGCTCGCCGTCCCTCTCCGCGCCATCAGCCATCTACAGCGTCACCCACTAACTCTCCCCGCCCAAAAACAGCCCCAGAAACCCGTAAAACGTATCCGCCTTCGCGCCGCGCGCCAGGGGCGGGGTGGCATGCGCAACGTCGAGCACGCTCGGCTCCGTGATTGCCGTCAGCACGCAGCGGGGCGTATCCCGTGTTAGCGCCGAGGCGCGGAGGGTGCCGGAGCGGGCGGAGGAGCTGCTGTTGCGCGAGGGGGCGCGGGATGGCGTCGGCGGCGATGGCGAGCTCTGTATAGGTGTGGGTGTCGCGAAGAGGAACATGATGGGGCGGGGCTCCGCCGGTTCCGCTGAACGCCGCAGCGCGGATGTGATCGTGTCGGCGTATATTGCCAGCCACTGGCCGGTGACGTCGCCGCGTGCGAGACGGGTTACGAAACCGCCCTACCCCAGTGCCGCCCGTTCGCCCATTGGGCGGCGGCAGGGGTGTGGCTGCGCTGTTGACGAGTGCCGCGAGTTGGCTGTCGCTTGGTGGAGAGGAGGGGGGAGGGGCGGTGGTGCTGGGCGTGCGTGGTGCGGCGGCGGCGCTTGGAGGATGTGGTGGAGGGCGGGGCAGGGGGCATTAGGGCGGCGTCGGAAGAGGTGGAGGAGGGGGCGGGGCGTTTGGGTGTCATTGGCCCTTGGGTGCTGCTGCGGTTGGTGTTGACGGTGAGCGGTGTTGACGAGGCGAGGTGTGTGGCTGCAGCTGTGGCACAGGGTAGGTGCCACACCAAACCACGCAACATGCGCCACTCCCCGCCGGAAAAAGGGCGAATACGCGAGAGAGTCTGTCTAAGTGTAGAAGGAAAGGCATCACCGAATCTCTAAACACTAAAAATAAAAAAGAAAAACTAAAAAAATAACAGAACACAGAGCACAAATGGGTCCTTCCACCGCGGTACCCGGAGAGAACAAGCGCGAGTGATACTTTGTGACGCCTCGGAAATCTGCATACCACAAGACCGCGGCAACCAACCACAAGACCGCGGCAACCAACCCCAAAGCGGGTGTGCAGCCCATCTTTTTCCGGCGTGAGACGGTAACCCTACATACATAGGGTACATACTCTACATCCCATCCCGCGGGACTAATCCATTTCCGGGCGTGGTCACGCCATGACTGTGCACCCCTTCGCATGTCCCTCAACGGTTACCCCTTCGGACGAAGCCCTCAGAGAATACACACCTCCCCGTAGCAAGAGAGGAGATGCAGATACCGGATTGAGAGGAGCCCTGATGCTGTTTTCAGCGTGTGCAAACCAGCTGTGTGCGGTTAGGCCCCGTGAGAGGGCGGGAGGTGTGCAGGTTGGTGTTCGGTGGGTGACTAAGCTGCCGCCTGCCGCCTGCCAGAGCTGTGATGATATGTAAGCTGATTAGATGTGGCGTGCCGTGGGCGGTTATCGTTTGCATTCGGAAAGCGCCCCAGTCACTCCGCCTAATCCGGCCTGAGCAGTCCTATGATTCCTACATTTTGCTGTCCTTATCTCTCATATATACATTTAGCCACTCCGTTAATACCAAGATAATCGAACTTTATATGTCCCTAGTTCTTTTACAATTGCCATCTCATCACTATATCTGGGAGTAAGCTCGGTACTACGAGAGCGCAGGCAGACCCCTATATATCTGTTAACCAGGCCCAACTGAACAGACAGTTAATCAACCGCGATTTCACATCCAACATTGCCAGCAGTATATAGGAGTCGTTAGTCATACAGGGCCATCCAGGTACCGAGCAGAGCGGTCTGTAGAAAATAGTGTGAGGTCGATAACTAACCAGTCATCCGCGCGCCGAATGGTCACAGGCCGTTGTAATATTGGGGTTGAAATATATCACCAGTTCCCAATCCTTGGCCATTTTTTCGTTGAAAGCCTTTCACTCCCTCATAAAACACCATACAATCACAGCCCTAGGTACAAAACTCGTCATTTTAATTTAAACAGGGTTCCTTAGGATAACTTAAAGAATGCGGGTGATAAGCCTTGGAGTGGTAGTAGTCAAGCTTTGGAGTGATGTAGTCAAACTTCAGAATGTTTGAGTTAAACATTGTGTTGCTTGTTTGAGGTTTATCAAAACCCGTTGAGTGTTTAACATTACCTCTGCATAGCTTAACCTAAACACTGAATCGTTTGTTTGAGGTTTAATTCAACCGTTCAGGTGTTTAGCATTAGTAGAGGCACAGGGTATTTGGTAAAAGAAATATTCTTGACAGTTCCTCCAGCACCACCGCCAACTCATGTGGCACTCGCGCCAACACCAACCGAGGCTTGCACCAACCCAAACCCAAATCTGGAACCAACCCACTGTTGCTATGAGTGGCAGGTTCTAGAGCGGCTCGAACCGGCGATCTTACGAAAGAGATTAAACACCCATCCCATTGAGCTATAAAACATTTTATGTTCTGCCATAAAGTAGGACGCTACCTGTTCATGGTAAATTCAGTGTACAGGATGGCCTGTAGGGGTAATATCCGTCTATGGGACAGGAAAACTTCGGTCCTCTGGCGTCCGCCTAACCGGTAACCTATATAAAAAACATTTCTGAACAGGCTACCAAAACCATTGTATACGACTACCCAAAAAATTGTATATACCGAGGATGAGTAGATAATACACCACATGGGATACCCGGGTAGCAACAATATAGGTTGATTTATAGAGCGGCGAACCCAATGTCAAACACTTTAATAAGAGAACTAGTTTGTACATAAAAAGCGACAAATTACGGAAAATCTACCGGTGCAGCTGAATGGTCAAGGCCACTCATGCTGCAGGTCGCATAGGCCAAGGGTCGGTCGAGAGGCAATGGTTGCAAACTTATTAGCTAAAGTTCAATAAAGCATTCTTCGAACCCAACATCCTGCTATATATATCATTCACCCGAATTTGTGTAGCTTTTACTCATTTTGACATTCACTCTATAAAGAAATCCATGGCACTAATCTATCCCAGCCATATTTTACTCCACCCATTGAGTGAAGGTTCCTTTGACGGGCTACATACCCATATGGTAGACGGCTATTTATTTGCAATACCACAACCCATAGACGGAACATCAAGATAGGCACCTCCACTATATGGGTCAGAAAAGCTACATAGCGGTATGTGTACCCATATTGACAGCCAATCAGCAAAAGTGTTCGTGATATAGTTTAAATGTCGGTGCGCAGTGTGGCGCACCCGTAATACTGATGTTATTAAAGTTGAGATTCAAAAGAACGAGAAATATATAATAGTTCGTGACTATATATAAAAAGAGGATAGGTCATTGATCTTATTCTTCATTAACTTGGGCGCCATTGGTCACTGGAAATGTCTTCTCTTGGGGATTCTTGATGGCCCACCGCGATTACATATGGAGAAATGTCTCACTCCGAAATCGGAATCACGAACACTTTTTCAGAGTGGCTGTAGATATTTAAGTTATATCTAATACGTATACATGATTATATTAATGTAACCTGAACACTCGGGTGTTTAGCATCAAGAGTTTCAAGTTGGATATGTTTAATATGTGTAAATAATAGGTTTGATTTAAGGTAAGCCTCTAGAAGCTTAATACAAAAAGATGCCAAATCAAGCATATTCAAGTTAAACTATGTACTGTTTATCATGATATAAACAGTACAGAGTTGAAGTTAAAAAAAGTTTTATGACCGAAAAATTTAGAAAAGTTGCGAAGTTTAAAAGACTTCCGTTTTGATTAACTTGAGCACGCACCGGGTTTGGAGTAAACATATCCACACAAATTTTGTACCATAGGGCAGGCACAACCAATAAACGAAAGGAATATATACATGAAGATAATTATAAGCAGGATGCAATATAACAAACACAACAGGAATGTTTCGCCCGCGAATGGCTCCCCCATCGCTATATACTTAAATACTATTCTACAAAAGCCCCAGTCCCAGGGTGTCGGGCTGGGTGCCTTGGCGTTGATTGTTGCTGGGTCCTCACGGTCGTTGATCTGGTCTGACTCTTCGCGTCCCATGGATGCGATGCTGGCGCAGCGCTGGTCATATGAAATTACACTGCGGGCGGTGCGTGCGGTTGGGTTGTAGCGATTGTGCGGGGTGTGGCGGTGCGGGGGGGGGGGTGGTGCGGGTGTGGGTGGAGGTGGTACTGGCGAATGACGCGCGTCTCGATGTGCTCTGGTGAGAGAAGTGGGTGCGTGCTGAATGATGATGGTGGTGGTGATGATGATGGGAGGGGACCTAGGCATGTTCCTTACAGCGGTCTCGGTGGGAGTCGACTCCTGGGGGAGTGGGGCGGAGGAGCTGTGGCTGAGCATGTTCTTACACGCCACGATCTAGTCCCTCAGCGGCCGCGACTGTTCGGTCTCTGCGGAACAGATGCTCGCGATAGCGCTTTCAGAGGGTCAGCGTACACCACACCACACGTTTCTCTGCACCCCCGAAGACTAAACCTACAGGTTCACCGCAGTAAGCGTCATGTCCATCGCCAGCTTATAACTACGCGGCAATGCTATTCTTCAGCTGCCCATTCCCCTCCTTCTTTAGCGTCGGGCGATACCCCTTTCACAGGCTGCGCTGTCGCCCATCGCCAGCCAGACTTCCCCTTGGGTCCAGCGGGGATGTTGTAGAAGGCACCAAAGTCGGCCATGATTGAGCTAGTGCAATAGCTCGGCCAGCTGGTCGGCGGGGAGGTGTGTAATGAAGTGATGTCATATAGCCAGAAGAGCTAATTGAGGTCGCTGAGCGCTTTGCAGAGCGAGTCGAGCTCTCGGCTGAGGCAGACTAAAGTTTGTGGAGCGCTGTGGACGGTGCCGATGGTGGTGTAGAGGGTGTGATATTGAAGCCAACGGCGACGATACTGGCGGGGGAGGCGAGGGAGGCGAGGCCTGAGTGGGGTCGGACATTGTGGGGTCTGCGGGGTCTATGGAGGAGGGGGAAAGGACGAGGGGTGTGGATGTGGCGGTCAGGGGCGATATTTAGATGATGCTAGGCAACTATGGCTGCGCTGAGTTGTGATGGCTGCCAAGTAAAATGCATTCGCCAATTGTGCATTGCGGGGGATGCGTGGCGATTGGCTGCGTCTAGCTGCAGATTTACACAACGTAACTGAATAAACGTGCGGGTGACCGAAGTCTCCTATCTGAGGAACGAATAACATGCGGCACGGTGAAGCTTAGATCGATCAAGTCTTACGGCGGATCATGTTGCTTTCTTAAGCTGAACACATATGGGTAACCATTACCACAACGCAGTTTTTGTATTATTATTTGTAATGTGTTTGAACACCTATCCCGCTAATCCGCCTCAGAACATGGTAGGTAGGCTTTGCACCCCGGGGGCCTCGACCGAAGAATACTTCGTTTTGAAGCGCCAACCTGAATTACTTCACCTTAATAGTGAATGTATGGAATGACACTTTACTCGATCAGATTCAAAATATTGCGCCATTTCTATTGCTAGAAGTCAGGGCATGAATTAAACAAAAAAAAAAAAAAAAAGAAGCTACAAGTGAGGGCCCAGGTAGCGGTAAAACTCTTCAATAAACATCGCTTTATTTTACCGTAGGGGGCTGATAGGATCGCTTGGCTGATAATCATCTCGTGATAGGCGCGGGGTTAGGGCTCATAACGATGGCTTGGCCGCAGGAGAGGTATCCGCCAGCTAGTTCAAACCAATACTCAGTGGAGAACCTGACGATCCCCACGTCTCTGAGCCTAGACTCTTACTATCTATTATCCTAACTCATATTATACGTTTATCCTTCCCCAGAAATATCGCGAAATGGTAGGAGACCGGTATTCAAGCGTGACTGTTACTAGCCCGCGGCCAGCGGGGTTTGGGTATCCGCAATGGGACATGTGGAATACGCGTTGAGGTGGTAAGCATACTTGCGTGACTACTGTTCCCAGACGCCGGCTAATACGAAACGTTCCGAGGGTAGATGGATTCTTTAGAGGAAGAAGAATGTTTAACCATTCTGACCTCCGGTGGAAGGGTCAGGGGCGATTCTACGTACCGAGATAGGAGCCTAAGCAGGTTTGCTTTATTGTGGGGTTTTATGATGAACTGTTGTGCAAGCCCTCCCTTGTGGCAAGGCTCGACTCGCTCGATATGAACGTTGAGATAGGTTACGCATTGGTCGATGCTGCATCAATTAGTGCATCAATAGGATTACTGATTTCTGGATCGAGAATATGATTTATCACTAATATATTCGCAGCCTTGGGATTGGGGCAATGTAATGATAATAGAAATAATAAAAATAACAGTAACAAAAATAAAGCGAGAACTAAACAAAGAATATAGGCATCAACAGGCAATTTGATCAACAGAGACGTAGATAAATATGAACAAACTCGTAAACCTATATGGTTAAGCTCTATAGGAAAATACAACACAAATATACAAATGTCTACGAGAAATAGGTAGAGATGGCTCATGGTAGATATAGAGATCTAAAACCACCTAAATATTCCAGGGACGGTCTAAATGTTGCAGCATACTAATCAGTCGTATCTTGATAACAGACCTCAGAAGGATTGACCCCTTTAATTGAAAGTAACCCCACAAGCTCCTCCGACCCGGCCACTACCGCCATGTGCATTGGACACTGATATCCTGGAGTACAGCCATGCGGGCGTGCTCCCCCATTCAAAAGAATCGACACCATCTCCTTGGATTGCTTTTCGACCGCCATCTGCAATGGTGTCTTTAGAGCGCGCGCAGAGCATCCTTCAATATTTGCTCCGTGGGCTATCAGAAACAGGGCCATTTTCTTATCATCTATTCCTACCGCTATCTGCAACGGCGTTCTAGGCTCCTCGTATGTGTATCCATCGATCTTGGCACCTGAGGCTAAAAGCCGCCTCGCCATGCCCACAGAGTTTGGGGGTTGCATTTCTACAATAATCTGTAGTAACGTACGCCCAGGAGAGCAGTACTCCATTTCCACATGGCGTCCAAGAAGGGTGTTGAACATATCCAGATCCCCGTACCCGATCACCTTTCCGATCGGAGTGTGTGCACTCTCAGCGTAGCGGGCATCAATATCTGCTCCGAGTCCAACGAGAAGTTTGACCATTTCGTGGTCACGGTTATCGACTGCTATTTGAAGGGGTGTCCTGCGCTCCTGTTCTGAGCACTCTTCAATATCAGCTCCCTGGTGCAAAAGGCAGTGCGCAATGCCAACAGAATCTGGGTATCTCCCCATTGTCGCTGCCTGTAGTAGTGTCCATGGTAGCTTGCCGTACGCCTTTTCAGCATTGGCCCCTCGGAGAAGCAAAAACTGGATCATTTCGTAGTTTTCACAGTCCACGGCCAGCTCTAGCGGTGTCCTACGCTCCTCCTTACAGCACCCTTCAATACTCACTCCCCGAGCCAAAAGGCAGCGCGCAATGCCAACGGAATTTGAGTATGTCCCCATTGCCGCTGCCTGTAGTGGTGTGCGCGGTGGGTTGCCGTACGTCTTCGAGGCATTGGCCCCCGGAGAAGCAAAAACTGGATCATCTCGCCTTTTCCGCTGTTCACGGCCAGCTCCAGTGGTGTCTGAGGCCTCTCTTTACAGAACCCTTCAATATCCGCGCCCAAGTGCAAAAGGCATCTCGCAACACCAACAGAATCGCTGTATCTCCCCATCGCCGCTACCTGTAGTGGAGTGCATGGTGGATTTCCGTAGCCCTTCTCGGTGTCAAGCCCATAGAGAAGAAATAGCTCGATTATCCTGTTTCTGCGCGATTCTAGTACCAAGTCAATTATACTGTGCTCTGGCTCTTTCTGCTGTACTTCAATATGCGCCCCCCATTCTAAGAATAGCTCAACGATGTGGCTATTTCCTCTGCGGATTGCGTTTTTAAATGCCTCCACCAATTCAGTCCCAATCCAAACGCCAAAGCGTTTTTGAGCGCTCCAAGATAAAAGCAGCCCCACCAGGTGTAAATCATTATTAGAGATAGCCAAATCTAGCTTGTCCCTCAAGAAGCTGGAATATATTCTGGAAACCCTAGGATAGCGGGAGAGCTTTTTACTCAACTCCCGGGCGATCAATGGTGATTTCTTATTGTAATGCGAGAAGGCCGGTAGATCTCTGGATTCGTTCATTCCATCTCTTCGAATTTTCGGTTTAAGCCCGAAGATCGATAGTAGGATACATAAACCAACCTCTGGCAACTCTGGTGGAATATTCCCCCCCGGGTATCGCCAGTCGTTGTAAAACGTCATCCCATCGATCGGCAAGGATATCCGATGTATTTCTTTTACCTCAGAAATCCTCTTTGTATCAAGGTCTAACCTGCTAAAGGGCAAAGAAAATACTGATGCATCCGAACCGATTGTGAATTCAGACCATGGAGTTGCTCTTTGAGATGTAAGGACGGACTGGGCCGAACTATCAAAAGCTTTGGTGCCGGCGTACGGTTTGGTGTTTCGCAGTTTGGATCTCAAGGACTTGCCCGAAATAACGCTAAAGGGCTTCTTAACAGTCATCAGGGAGGCAGTTTCCCCACCTGCCGTAGTGGAGGCCCCTTGATTAACAAGGATTAATGTGTGGGAAATATCCCCCGACGAGCCGCCATGTAGGACGTTATCTATTGATGGATCCAAAGGTTGCGGAGGGCGCCTGTATCGTGGATCTAGAAGATCTTTTAAAGTGTCGTTTAAGAGGTCGTTCGAAGCCTCTGCTTGCGCAGCTGACTGGCTAGTTCCGTAAGCCTACATTGCAGGATAGTGGGTATGGTAGAATTAAGCGCAATGTATCACAAACCTCAACCATATCGTAAGGAGAAGATTCAGTGTCAGTTTATGACTCTGAATGCGGGTAAGAAGTTTTGCGAGGTCGCTATCTGCGAGACCCCATCTGATGCGGCGGATGTAGTCCATTTTAGACTGCGACAGTAATGGATCAAGTGTCTTCTCTACTTGGGCAAGTGTTGTCATAGAGGATGCCAGAGTAAGTATAAGTTGGCTCGTGTCGGTCGTCGCTCTTCCTAATGGGGTTATGTTTTTATTTTGCCACACGCAATCTCTGAGCTGCAAAAGGGCGTAACGGAAGTCTCGAATCTCATCGCGTGTAGTTTGGGCGATAATTGGCGCATCACGACATGAAGAGAGGAACGCATTCAGGGTGATATAAACCTGAGAGGCTGCAGTGAGAAGCCCCACTATGGATGCCGCCACCTCCATACTACGATGAAAGTGCTGGGGATGGTAGAGTTGATATTATAGTGCGACGCAAACTGGCGAGGCTTCCCCGCTTCCAAAGCATTCTAAATATAGTTTAGCCTGATTAGAATTTCTCACGGCAACTCGAGAACCCAAAGTGTTAACCCTGGTGCCAAGCAAACCTTCCTATACAAGTTAGACGGTGTGGCGTAGTCTTGGCAAAGCATATCAGGGTCATACATACAGTACGATGCGTCAGGGGCGGCATCGCAACGCCCTCGAACCATCACGGGTACCAGCACAGCAACCACAATTGATCCTTTGGAGAGCTGAGTTTTTATATAGTTGTTAGATTGTAGATAAATGACAATAATCTGACATTTAATATCTTGTGTACTAAACTGCCTTGAAAAGGTTTTCGAAATCTGGTTGCGCGCCTGACGCTCACGACTAGCATCGTACCATACATACCATTTATTTCAGAAGCCTACACCAATATACGATCAAGTCCCACAGGAAACACTCACGTCCTATACATCATCCCCCGCCCTAATACGGGGTTTATCACACCGAGAACAGGGGAAGTGCGGACTCCTGCAAAAGCGGTGAATATTGGGACCTCATTGATATATAGCTCAATTCCGGATATGGCGGCTCGGGCCTTCTGTGTGTGGTATGAAGTGTGGCCGAGGGGTTTATCGTAATTGGAGAATCTCGGCGGGATGGCCTTCGCACCAAAATGAAAATCACCAAAGTTGATTGCTTCCCCAACATGCAATCTCCATATCTATGCACACACATTCCAAGGGGCACGGTTTAGCAAACTATACTGCTTTGAGTTCCTGGTTTTAATCAGGACCGACCGTCTTCAGGCTGCTTCGTGATCTGTGGTCGCGAGGATGGGAGGATAATCTTGATTGATTTGCTGATGATGAGCATAAGCCTCGGGATATGTCCTTGTATACAGTCTTAAGCTAGTGCCAGATATGTACAGTTCGTACTGTACATCCTTAACCGGTTACACCCCATATCGCATATCCCCTCAACCCTCAGTAGGATTCCTCTGTAATAGTACACACCACTCCAACTCTCATGAAATATTCCCGCTCGATCTTTCCCGCTGCTCTCAACCCAGGCACCGCATCCGACCTCCAAAGCCAGCATGATGGCTCCCCACTATCAAAACCGACCTCACGACACTCAACAAAGCCCCCACAAGTATATGACTTTGTGTCCTAAATTAGCCTCAAGGAATCAAGTAATAATGCCTCTTTGTTGCGCCGGAATCCTAACCCTGCATCACCTAACCCATATCCCACACTAACGCGCCACCCGCCACCACAATACCACCCGCAAAGCCACCCCTAGCCACCCGCAAAGCCACCATTGTGATTAGTGGGGGAAGAGGAAGGTATCGCTGTTGTGAGTAAACCGGGAGCAATAAATGAGGAGTGGAGGAGCGGAAGGTGTGTTATGTGGCTTTTTGTCTTTGGGGTGCGTCCGGTGTGGGGGTGAGGCGAAGGTAAGCGGCATTAGGGGCGTTGTTTTTTGTAGAGATACGGGTTCTGGAGTGGAATGGGTAGGGGGAGTATGAGGATTGATTTCTGTTGCTGTAAAGCTCGGGATCGTCTTTGGGTCTCGGCGGCCTGCGGTTGGGTTGTGTCGGGGGTCGGTACTGCCGGAATATAGCTGGGGTGCAAGTAGTATATGCCGTTCGGTTCCAGAAGCCAATGTCAATGTCAGCGCCGCACAACGATTACCAAGCCGAACAGATACTAGTACTCCGTTAATCCCGTTATCGTTCTCTACAAGGTTGGCAACATAGGGAGACAGCAGCGACAGAGCGGATACCAGATGACTGCCTAGAACGGGGGTGGTACAAGCTGTCTTTCTCCTGACGTCCGCCTCTAAAACACGGGCTCGGGGTATTGCAGCAGTATTGCGACACCCCCGGAAGGGCGGGACGATGTGGAATTTCGGGTGTCCGCGGTGGTAGTAGCAGATCGGGATTGTAGCTGTAGCGTCAGCACCATCTCTCAGGAGTATACGTTACCGTCGTTGTGCGTGCTATCACAACCCGACGTCCGGTCAACCTTGTAGACCATAGACCCAGTGTTAACAAAATCACCGTCTCCAAATCTCACTCATTCGCCCGTACCAAGCGCCCTGGTGGAGCGCACAAGCTTGCCCGCGGCGGATCTAAAGCTCTTGACGCGTCGCGCTAGTAAGCGATGTTAGCGGGCTCTGGACAAGGTGGGGTAACTGTAACGAGTCGCAGGCCGGGTGCCGGTCTGCATTGTTGCTTGAAAGCTTGAAAGCATGAATGTGGTTTCCTGGTCAAGATACCCGTCTGGCAGCTTGTGATAAACAGTCGTCACCCCGCAACCATTACCCCGCACTAGCTAGTCCTACCGCGGCTTGTTCCGCGTTACACAGCCAGGGTTCAACCACCCTGCGTCCCGGCACCCATGTCCCGAACCGAACCGATCTTCCGCCACTGTTCCCGTCCGTGGTTCATATCCCTGGCGCCGGTGTTAAAATAAGCTTTCAAAGGACCCTGCATGCTCTTCTCCTTGCATGGTCGCAACGAAGGGTGTGCTGCTGGGTACACGCGGCGGGGTAACTTTGAGCGCCGTGCAGTGGTGCCCGGAGTATCGTTGGCTAATCGTGGGGTGATAGACTGACACTCGAAGCGCAACCTTCTTTATCACACCCCCAGAGCATCCAACAAGTGCTAATTCTCCATCGTTCCGTAGAACGTCTACATTGAATTCTGCACCCCCGCCACACCCCTCCTCCCCAAGCCACACCCCAGCGAGGCGCTAGTGGGTAAACCGTGGTCTCGGGGGAATAGTGGCAGGCAGGTTCGGCAGTGTCTATCATATGTCTTCAGCAGTCAGCCTACTCCGGCGATTGATGCATGACCCCCGCCAACCCAACGCCCGTCCCCGTAACATACTCAAATCCCACCACTACCTAGTAATGCGCCCAAAGGGGGGCGGAAGTACTCGCGACCAGCAACAAGAACCCGAAAATGCACGTCCTAATCTGCAATTTCCATTGGAGTAGAAGTCAAAAATACATCAAAGACTTGCAGCTGCATGTTCGGGTTCTTGTTTTTTTTTTTAGATCATAGTTTCATTTATTTCTAGGTACAAGAATATCGCATGGAGCCTAAGCTATGGCGTGAACAACACCTATGTTCGGGTTCTTGTTGCTGGTCGCGAGTATATAATACGGGTAACCATGTATGCATGGTGGTACGACATGTCAACACCCCCGTGCCCGATTACATAACCCGAATATGTGGTCCGTAGAAATGTGTCGCTCGCGGAACTCAACATATAGCGGGTTGGGGCGAGCACCCCGCGTTCGGCTGGATTTGTGTTTCGGCGATGGGGTCCTGAGCTCTGTCTGGGTATAGATGGCCTACGAGGCAATGGGGTATGGCTGCTTTGAAACGCGGCATTCATGTGTTCTTCAAGACTGTTATATCGCCACCCCGGGAACGCTTTACCCTATGCACCCCGCCGACCGGTTCAGCCCGGTGTCGGTCGGTGAAAAAGTCTCAGACCCATCGAAATAGACCGGGGTGGGCGGTATCCGAATGATGGGTTCGTATATATCTCACTATATATAGGGTCATAGGATGATTCTACTACGAAAAGGATGCAAGGCTATCTACTTACACATATCTACGTGACACGTCTAGTTAAGCTAGACTGTGACTACCGTTGCTAAAACTACCTTACGCTTACCCCCGGCGCTGGGAGCGCAAGAAAGACCTAGTCGCCAGAAGAGGGCGGGAACGCATTGGGGTAATCAGCGGTGCTCTTCTGCGGTGCTGTGGCGGTGGCAGAGGAGAGAGTGTGGGCGCAGCCGCTGTAGATTTGTACGCGGTTGGGATTCATGACACGAACGCGCTGATGTGGAAGAAAAAGAGAGAGGTATCACTTGTACTTCGCTTGTCTAGTATTAGGTCCGTGTATTCTTCCACTACTGCTACGAAGCCCTACCCCCTTGACCGGTACCAGCGCGTGTACTCAATACTATCCTTCGCCTACGATGCCAGGCGACATAGATAACGAGAAGTAACAGTCATAGGCTCGCGATCCGAGTTATGGGGACGTATTGTGACACTGTCGGTGTTCCCAGCCTGGTGAGGCTCTCAGAGATGTTGGTATTGCAAGGATGTCTTATCGATAAGCACGTGTACTTGCATGAAATGGGATTTGCTTAAGGTTTAGCGCGAGGCGACCCTTATGTCGATCGCGGGCGAGCTACAATCAACCTCCACCCACAGCACTCACCCATGTAGACTGCACAACCACTACATCTCTAAGATTCTACATGCTCAAAGTCGCCGGTGAATGCGAAGAGGTCAGTCAGGACTACTTTACCCAGCAATGGCGGGCGGATTGCTGGGCGGGATCAAGTCGTAAGGTTATCGGCGCAAAGAAGGCAGCCGATGACTCTGCACAGGCCTAATTAAAAGAGTCTATTCCAGACTCAGAGTGTGTGGTATTTGAAATAAGAATAGAACCGCAGAAGTACTCTGAGCGGTAGCCGCATACGCGTCATCCACTGCACCACCCCCGAAGATGGACGACGCCTCGTTCCCGCCGTCGCACGGTACCGGCACTCACTTCTTGACATTGCATTACCATATCGATCAACACAACTGCCGCAGGCCCGGGATATTTGATTCCTGACGAGTAAGTGTAGCACTTTGCACCAGAACCAGCTGTATATTCGCAACCAGAAAAAACTCAACCGGCGCGGAAGAGCGCTGAGGGCAGCTTCATCTGTATCTTTGAAATTTACTGATTTTCTACAACAAAACCCGCTCGTGAAAACCAAGGTCGGAGAGTGCGGGGAGTTGCTTTAAGATTAAGGCGGGTGAAAGAGTGTGATATGTGGCGCTACGCGCGCCGTTTCCCCAGCGATGGAAGTAGACGATGGTCATGCGAGTGTTCAGACATTTCAATATAACGGCTTGTACAATCTCCCAGCTTTGTCCGGGCGGGTTGTCCGGCCGCCAACCACCCGGTTCTGAAAAAGAAAGACTGTAAGATGGAGTGGTTTATATATGAAATGGCACAACGAAATGTAGGAAAAACGAGTGAAAATAACCATAAACGTAAAACAAGAAACAAACGAAAATAAGACAAGATGTGAAATAGATAACATATAGCTAATCGCCATGAAAAGAAAAAAAGAAAAAAAACATCCAGAAATACGATCGCGAGAGATAACACAAAAATGTGCAATGAGACAAAGGAAATGTAGACCACATTATCATTGTTAAGCAACCAAGCTAGCGATTTTGTTGCCTTAGAATTGGTCTAACCAGCTCACCATATAAATCAATTGGTGCCTGATCAATCTCTTCCAGTCTCGCCGGTAGGAGAACCCTATCCACGACTTCTACCAAGAAAAGGTGGAGGCGCGGGTGAGGAGAAATTACTATGAACGGTCACAAGTTAGTGTCCTGATGAAGAGGTAATCCGACGAGTACAGTCGATGGTTACATACCTCATCAGCGGCTATACGCTCGACCGGAAGCTGATGGACTGGGTCCGATACATTAGCCAGCTCCGCCAGCCTTGTCTCTAGCACCCTCACTACCTCCGAGTAGCCTTTCACACGCGCTTTATCTAACGGGGTCTCCCCATCGCTATTCTTAGGGTTCGCATCTACTCCCCCCTTCTCCAGCAGCAGCTGTACCACCCTCGCGTAGCCGTTCTTTGCCGCCCAAAATAATGGCGTCTCTCCATAGTTATCCTTGGAATCCGCCTGCAGCCCCTCCTCCTCCAGCAGCAGCTGTACCACCCTCCCCCGGCCACGCTCCGCCGCGTAGGATAATGGGGTTTGTCCACCACTATCCTTGAGTTCCACATCCGCTCCCTCCTTCTCTAGTAGCAGCTGTACCACCTCCACGTGGCCATTCCTGGCCGCATAGTGTAGTGGGGTCCAGTTGGTGTTATCTCCCGAATTCACATCCACTCTCTCCTTCTCCAGCAGCAGCTGTACCACGTTCTCATAGCCATTCTGCGCCGCGTAGGACAATGGGGTCCGACTACCCGCATCCTTGGAATCCACATCCACTCCCTCCTTCTCCAGCAGCAGCTGCACCACCTTCACATGGCCACGCTGCGCCGCGTAGGATAATGGGGTTTGTTCACCATTAGACTTAGAATCCACATCCACTCCCTCCTTCTCCAGCAGCAGCTGTACCACCTTCTCATAGCCATTCTGCGCCGCGTAGGACAATGGGGCCCGACTACCCGCATCCTTGGAATCCACATCCACTCCCTCCTTCTCCAGCAGCAGCTGCACCACCTTCTCATGGCCACGCTGCGCCGCGTAGGATAATGGGGTTTGTTCACCATTAGACTTGGAATCCACATCCACTCCCTCCTTCTCCAGCAGCAGCTGTACCACCTTCTCACGGCCATTCCCCGCTGCCCAGGATAGTGAGGTCCGACCATCGCGATTGCGAGAATTCAACTCTTGATTTGAGACGCGCAGTAGAAGCGTGTCAAGATACTGTAGCTCGTAATGACAGGCGACCCAGAACGGGGAAGCCGCCGCCTCACCGCCCTCCGATAGCGCTAAATCACCATCAACCTTCGTGATTGTGGAGCCCCATGCCTTATAGGACGCGGTAGACTTCCAAAACCTGTTAGAAAGATCCTCTACTTTCCCAGACGTAGCCTCTGACAGACGAACATGTGCTGCCCAGTTCCTCGCGGCGTAGGTATATAGATCTTGGACCGGGTCGCTCGCATGATGATATAGTAAGGTTGTAAGGCAAACCTTGGCTATATATGAATTGCAGGTTTTTTTCTCGTATTCCGCCTGGGAGAGTAGGAACTCTTGGACAGAGAAATGCGCGAACCGAAAGATGTTCAGAGTTTTGTCATGTATAACAAGGTTCTTACAGATTCCCATAATCTTTAGTACTGTCCAACTGAGTCCGCTCTTGTTCAAACTCTTCTTCTCTGGCTCTACTGCAAGAGCCTGGATGACGCTTCCCGTTGTACAAGCTTCCTGCGCATATAGTAACCACTTTAGGATCTCTTTTGCAACCCGATGGGCATTCCGGTCCTGCGCTTTAATCCTCTCCATGACCTGGAGGTAGGTTTCGTTCAAGGTTTCTGGCATCGTACTTAGTGCAGATCTGACATCTTCGGCAGTTTGCGCAGCGCACAACGCGTCAATCTGTAGGTTAACCCACATAAACCTAAAATGTATTTTTTTAGCCTTTATGAGGATACGCAGCAGTGGGACGGATAAATGCATACATCCCATTCGCTTTAGACCGGAGCGTTTCTGTTATTAAATCTCGAAGATCCTGGTCAACCTCTCCTCCAAGCAATAGCGCATCTTCACAGTGAACGTTACTCCCATCGCAGCGTCGCTTGAGTTCTGCCTCGATATAAAGATTAATATCGGCGGAATTATCCTTTGCTTCAATATAATAATTTGGGATCCCAGAAAAGAACTGGTGGATGTCGGCGTCATATCTGCTGGTCACAACAATCTTGACCCGGGTAGCCGTCTCCGCAATCCTGTGCAATGCAGAAAATAAAGCCCTGCGTGTCTGAATATCGCATTCATCAAGGGCATCTACAAGAATTGTTGTCGATTGGTACCCTTCGGAGAGACCTATTATTAGTTCTGTGCTCTCTTCCGTGCTAAGTTGGCCCCTCGCACCACCCTTTGCTTCCCTCTCCTTGTAAATTCTATCAACGAGTGTGGGAATTTTATTTTCTCCTCTTCCCTTGACGCAAAACTGCTTTACCAGTGTCCGTAGAATTGACTCGGTGCTCCTTCTGGTAGGTTCCTTATAATTGCAGTAAAAATACGCCACCACGTGATCATCGCTGGTTGATAGATGTTCAAAGGAATCGACGACAGAGGAACTACAGAGAATTAGTAACATGGTCTAACGGCAGTCCGGACGATCAGTCTTACGCTAGGATTGTTTTACCGAAGCCGGCTGGGGTCGAGCATTAAAATAGTCCTATACCAGAGGTGGGAATTTGCTTCTTACCATCTGCACGTAGCCAAAGAATTGGGTTCGTTTCCGACTCCCTCCATCGGATGAAGTGCCCGCTCTCCTGCAGCCAGGAACCTGTGCCGTGTAGTCGGCGCTGCACCGAGAGTAGGTGGTGACTCTCATACTCGACCTCCGATAGCCAGGTCAAGATCTTGAGTCGTCTATCGTCTGAAAAACTTAGTATGTCTCCTACCGAAGGGAGGATTCAATCTTTACATACTTCGAACTTCGTTGTATATAATTTCTACCACGTGCAATGTCCCCGCGATTGGCTCCTGTATTTCTATCAAAAGCCCTCGCAGTTTCTTTATATTTTTGTCCTGGTCTTCGAAGCAACGATTAGTACTTCGCAGCAGAAATCCAAGAGATGGTGGGGGCTTACCAAAACGGTTTGAGGCAGAGGCTAAAAGGTAATTAGCAGTTTCCGATCACGTCAATGATAAAAGAGGGCCTCGGACCTTCTTTCTCCGCAACATCTATCTTTTCCTTGAGCTCTTGCTGTTTGGATTTAATATCGTTCAGTAAGTCCTGGATTTCCTGGGAAAAGCTCCTGATAATTCGGCCTATCCGAGTTTAAAGCATTAACGTTCCATATGAACAATGTGAAAGTATTATATCTTACCTCCTGTATTATGATTCAGATAGATACTCATTTTACGGAGATATTTCAATATAGATGCATAGAGATTCACAAAACATTTGTTGAGATCTTCTGATATGCCGAACTTGGTATTGCAGTATAGCTTCTCGTATATATCGCAGCAGCAGAGAAGCTCCACCAGGTAATCCAAACTTTCGGATACTGAGCGCATCAGATTGACGTATGCAATTCCAGCCTAAAATAGTCAATAAAAGACTCGTAAAACCCCGAGATTCCAATTTCTATACCTGGAGAAGTCCTCGAAAGCCTGCCCAGACTAGGGCGACTACCTCCGGGTTGTGTTGAAGGGCAATGTCACCAATTGCTGCATATTTATTTAGTTGTACCAGAAGATTGTCGACGATAAAGACCTTCCTGTCATCCTTTATAATAAACCATCGCTTATCGTCGCATTGTTCCTTTCTCTCTTTCAAATCGTTGATGATGTTTTCAACCAATGACCCTTTAGGAAATGTCTCATCCCCTGAGTGGCCATTGTTTGGCTCTCGTATTTTGGTAAATGCCTTTTCCCACAGAACTGATGGCCTCCTAAATAAGTCAGTTAGTCAGGCCCATCGGCGATGCTAATAAGATGGGGTATATACTTTTCGGTTTCAGCTTCGGGTGGCTGTGATTCGGCAACTGTAGGGCCGGTCATAATATCTGGGATGTATGTGGTAAGTATCGCGACTTGGTTAGTAGGAGGGGACGTAGAGGTATCGGAAGCCGTCATGGAGGATTCGGTGAGAGTGAATAGATTCTTCTCGGGTTGGTCTGGAGTGACATCTGATGGAGGAGTAAGACTGAGGAAGTTCGGTGTTAGTCGAACCAAACCCCATGAACGTAAACCCTCAAAACCGACCGCGGTGATAACAGCAGATGACACCTACTTCTCAGACCTCTGAGTATCCAAGGGTCGTGCTTCAAAGACCGTGTGGCCAGCCACAGAATTGGCCGGGTAAGGAGCCGTTCCGGCGTAATCAGCGACTGGGGGTATAGAGGTGTCCGAAGATGTTATGGAGTCTTCGGTGTGAGTGGATTGATTCTTCGAAGGTTGGCCGGGGTTGACATCGAGAGGATAACCAGTGCTATAGAGGTATACGGCGTTAGAGTTGCTAAATATCAGCGAACTACATCTCATTAACATACCTCACTACCGTGTTTTGTTTATTTCGTCGCGAGCTCGGCTTCTGTTCGGACACCCGTGCATTGTCGGCGCCATTCTCCTCCCCAGAAGTCGGACAACACTTAGAGCATATACAACCCATCGGTCGGGATGTCTCTCGATTTGTGGGCGTTCGGAGAAGAGTGGGTTAGTTGTTGATTAGATGGGTGCTAGAGTATGTTGTTCAAAACCTCGCGAAATGGGTGTAATATGTTGAGAGAAACTGAGAAGCTGAGATCGCGTAGCTGAAGAGGGACAGCGCATCAGATCTACCGCCAATAGGTGTAGACGTCAGTCTCACACATCTGATACATGCAGTCGCACTCAGTAAACCTTCTGGGCGTGATACATCCCAGCCATTAAGTGCAAATGTGCGCGTACTCGTGCGCAGTGTGGTCCTACACGGTATAATTGGCCAATGCTGTGAGTATCGCGGAGAACTATACCCGATCCAGATCGCCACTGACGCCACTGACGCCACATACCGCCATAACTCGAAAAATTGGCTAGCTTCCAGAGATCAAAATTACTTGTGTGGGAAACTTCTGATGCAGATCGATGCCATACAACCAATCACTCGAGCGATAATCCCTGGCCGGAGATAGCCAATTTTTCGACTTTTGGCGGTACATGATGCGGACTGCATGTCCCAATGTGATAGTGCTTACTTGCATGTAGCACAACCAACCCCGGAGCCGGGGAGGCCAGCCTGCATGATATGCACGAAAGACATACTCTTACAGTTGGTGAATGGTTTATTTATTTCAGCCTAGGCAACTGCAAGTTCAAATATCTCCATTCATTCGACGCCGCATAACTCGAGAGGTGACAACTGGGGTACAGAGGTCGAGTGTTATCCGGCAACTGTTATCAGCACGGCCAACCGTCCAACTCTGTCAAGGATTGATTTGAGTGGCGGGTTGCAAAAAGAATTGAGTTGGTTTGCCAAGTGCTGCACAATTCTTGGACATTTGTGGTTGTCCACAAACGGGAGTCTCAGGTGGCATCAGTAGCTAAAACCAAAAAACCTACAGCTTGCGGTAAGATTATTGTAGAAATATGGGAGGAGTCCTATTGGCTTGCCCAGCCACAGAAACCCTGTTTTTAGACCCCTGTTTCTACAAAAAATTTTCCTCTCGCTGTACTCCCGTGGGGTGAGGCTCAAGACAAAGTTGCCAAGAATTGCAAATCAAGTTGCCGAGAAATATTTTGCAACCCACAATTCCAGTTGCAATCGTTTACAGTTTGCGGCAAATCCATTTATTAATTCAATTCTTGGCATCAATTGATCCCGATGTCTACCGTTGGCCGGCTGCACGGCGTAGTTGTTGGCGCCCCTGACTGTTATGTCGGGTATGGTGGGCGACATGACATCGGGGTCGGTAAAAGTAGACGAACACCAAATCCTTCTTGTCAACCACAACACAAGATATTAGTAAATATAGGCCGTACTTTAAATATTTATGATTAGAATAAGAGATCCACGCCCTTAAATCAAGAAATAATGCACATGGGAGTGCATAGTAGTGGGGCAAAGATACCTCAATTTAGGCGAGGGGGAGGGGAAACTTTACGCCAAGAGATGGGTGCAGGGGTGTTGTGCAGGGATAAACCGAGTGATAGCCCATGAAGGAGCGTTTCTAACCAAACCTGTCGAACCAAACCTATACTGTTCAGGTCAACAACAATAACAGAGAAAGATACCTAACTATATCATTGAAGGGTCTATTTGATGTGTAGAATCACCTCTCAGTCTCCATTTATGCATATAATGCACGGTTGCTGAGCTGTAAGCTTAATAGATACGGTACCTGCAAATACTATTTGTTTCCACCAATCATAGGTGGGTCTTTTAGGGGAACAGCAATGGGCAAGGGTACCAGACAATATGATTTAAAGGCATATTTTATGTGTAGGATCACCTCCCGGTGTCCGTTTGTACATACGATTCACGGTTGTTGAGCTATAAGCTTAAGAGATGCTGCAACCGTAAATATACCTATTTTAAAAAAACATACCTGGATCGTTCAAAGCAACAACAATAGATAAAAGTACCAGACAATATGATTTAAAGGCCTATTTAATGTGTAGAATCACCTCCCGGTGTCCGTTTGTACATACGATTCACGGTTGTTGAGCTATAAGTTTAAGAGATGCTGCAACGGTAAATATACAGTACGATGCCAGCCGTGAGGGTCAGGCACAGCGTCGCAACGCCCCCCGAACAATCACGGGTACCAGCACAGCAACTACAATTGATACTTTGGAGAGCTGAATTTTTGTATAGTTGTTAAATAGTTGATAAATAACAATAATTTGACATTTAATATCTTGTGTACCAACCTGCCGTGAAAAGGTTGTGGAAATCTGGTTGCGCGCGCGGCGTTGCGGCGCCGCGCCTGACCCTCACGACTGGCATCGTACTGTAAATATTTTAAAAAACCATACCTGGATCGTTCAAAGCAACAACAATAGATAAAAGTACCAGACTATATGATTTAAGGGCATATTTAATGTGTAGAATCACTTCCCAGTGTCCGTTTGTACATACGATTCACGGTTGTTGAGCTATAAGCTTAAGAGATGCTGCAACCGTAAATATACATATTTTAAAAAACCATACCTGCATCGTTCAAAGCAACAACAATAGATAAAAGTACCAGAAAATATGATTTAAGGGCATATTTAATGTGTAGAATCACCTCCCAGTGTCCGTTTGTACATACCATTCACGGTTGTTGAGTTATAAGCTCAAGGGATGCTGCAACGGTAGATATCCATATTTAGTAAATCATACCTGGTTCGTTCAAGGCAACTATAGGTAAAGATACCGAACTATATAATTTAAAAGCATATTTAATGCATAGAATCACCTCCCAGTGTCTATTTGTACATACGATTCACGGCTTGTGAGCTATAGGCTTAAGAGATATGGTAAACGTTCAAAAAATAGTTCTAACAACTAAAATCTTGCCACTTGATATGATAGATAAGAGTTATCAGAATGCTGTGCCATCATTTCTAGACCTAAATTACATATAGGATTCATCCCCATTGTCCATTTCCAAGTGAAATATACGGTTGTAAAAATATAAGCAAATACATACGGCTAAACTAGACTACTTTTATATTCCCTTCTGTGCGATCGATACTGTTTATCAACAAATTCTTTCTGTTCTTTAGTTAACCCGTCAGCATAGGCCTGAACCCAGCGTCTACTTCTATTGGCAAACCTCCTAATTGTCTTTAGACTTACTGATTCGAGTCCTTTCCAAATGGTTTCTTTCAGTTCCGAGAACGAGTAAGAGCAGTTTTCTCTAGTATACCTTTTTACTGCAGCTCAAAAGAACTCGATATAATTGAGTTCACAGTGGAATTTAGGATAGAAAATCACTTCATGTCCTCTCTTTGTAATTTCCAACTCCAGCAAAGATTTCTCACTTTTGAAATCGGTTTGAGCCTCTAAAATCCGAAGACAACAGCAATTTCTACCTTGTACACACTCGTCTATCCTTCTTTGATCTCGTTCCTCCTCAGTCTCCCCTTCTCTTCTATCCATTTTCTTCTTATCCGACCCGCACTGCTTTAATAAACCGATCCTCCACAATTCTCTTTCTTGTAAAACCTGTTTCATGCCCTTTGGTGCGGTAATAAGACCAGCTGAAATTGGGATTGTGGTATCCCAAAAACAGTCACCTATACGGAATACCATTGATTGTACGTTTCCGGCATAATAGGTATCATGCATAATTGGTTGTTTTCCGCCAGGATTGATATTTATTCGACTTGCCACAAGAGCATCTGGTGCCTTAAATGAATGTCCGCTTGAGTTATCAAATGCAAAGACTCCCATATGATTAGGGAAAGCTTTTTCAAATATAGGAATTGCCTTTTCCAAAACCTGCTTTACCATTTTATTTGAATCCCACCAACCGTTATCATTTTTACCACTCCCGTATTTTATTATCTCGAATGCATACTGTCGGGACCCCAATTCGTGATCGTAGATGGACAACCGACCAGTAGCTTCAGTCAAAGATTCAGATTTCATTATACCTTTCCCTCGTGACTTAGGTTTCAACCATTCTTGGCCCTTCGGCTTCCAGGAATATAATTTGCCGTCATTTGCATTAAACGTTGACTCATCATGGGTAATAAGTATACGTCTTTTAGCACCACAAGGTAGATTTTTATGTATCTCTCCATTGTCATCATACTCCCGTAGCGTTATCGAAATATCCTGTAAATAGTAAGTATGTATTTTCCCGGTCTACTATTATTTCAAAGACTTACTTTCCAACGAGGATTAAAAACGTTTGTTGTATAGTCCACTACATCCTCCCGTTCATGACCTTAAATATATCCTTTTTTATTCCTACTGTAAATCCAACCTAACTTTGCGAGCCAACGTTGTACTGTCCTAATACTAATTTTGATTGTTTGAGTAGAGTTCGGATTATCGTTTAGAGCAGGAATAATAGACAGAGCGTAATGATAATGGTTTAAAACAGCAGCTATCCCCATAATATTGGCTGCTTGACGTGTGTATAATAATTGGCCAATCACTTCACAGATTCCTTGTGGTGTAGCTTTTGACATTGCAGTATTGAGATACTCTCGTATAACCAATATTACCTTAATATTTGGGTTAGTAAAAGATAGAATGAGATATCGGTTATTCAAACTTACACCTTCATCATGATATAAGGTTCTAACAGTCATGTATTGACCTTTTTGTATTTTAGGTTGTGGAATTTTAAATTCCTGCCAGTCACAGTGCCATCTGCACAGTGTCTTTGCCCACTTATTGCCCTTTCCTTTTGCCGCTGATATAATTATGGAATTATCCACCCAATTGTGATCCCGACCTTTTTTAAGCTTAACCTGAAGTAAGTTTATTAAAGCATGTACCCTGTTGTACCACTCGCCAGTGGGATTATGTTTCTTGACCCAAACTTGTAGCTTCCGAATCTCATTTTCAATCCGGTCTTTTGGTAATGCCATCTCAAAATCTGGTGGAGAAAAAAATTTTGTGCTAACCGGGAGCCTACTACTGGCAGTTGAAGATTCCAGAGCAACAAGGAAGCGGGAGATAGACCCATATATCTCCTGCATATTCCTTCGCGTCTCTTCATTTTTCTTTTTGTGGTAGTGCAACAACTGCCTAGAGGGAGTGGCTGCAGGATTTGTGCCAGGAAGTTTGAACTCCGTTAAAATCCAACCACCAGCTGGTTGCCCTATTTGGAGAATATCTTCTTCAATATCGCCAAGGGCCACAATCACATCATCTTCTTCAAAAGCCGATACTCCTACATAACGGGTAATTATAATAGATTAATTACAAATGCACCCGGTACTGAAAGTCTTACCAGGAACTTCCCTAACTTCCTTCTGAATTCTTGACTGTACCCTGAATGCTGCACAACCCGCAATCGAAGCAGTTCTTTTTTGTTGCTTATTTTTTGGAACTCGAGGCATGATTACTGACCAACAACTGAGTGTAGTAGGTGTAAATCTTAAGTAACCGATTAATCCTCCTCCTGAAAGCTCTTTGGCTACTCCTGAAGACCCCCAAATAGGCTGAGACATACATATAAGTCATCACAACGCTTGATTTTTACATGCGCCAAGACCGACCCCGATATCGTGTCGCCCACTATATCATTCATGATTCTTGGCTATTCGATGCATTCTTGGCAATTACAACATGAGCCTCAGAAACCCCAACACCCCTGTTGTGTAATTTGTAAAGAAAGTATCAGAGAGTTATTTGTTCCTCAGGATAAACTCATATGTTGATATTCCGAGCAAAAGTATCATTTTGGGGGGAGTTGAGTGCTTTAAGATTATGAAGGTAATCTTTTGAAAAAGATTGGAGACAATTGAAGATTATGCAGCCCTCCACAAGTCAATTCAATTTTTAGCAGGATTGAACGATTGGTTTTGCTGGATGCCACCATCCTACCAAACATAAAGCAGTAGTTCAGGGTCACCACCTATTCTAGTAAATCCTACCTAGAGATTGGCACTCTTGATGAAATAAAGAATCTGAACCCTGGCTGTGGCACATAGAACCCTGATACTCTACTACAGTAGGAAATGTATCGTGGTATTAAATCAGGAACTGCATCCCGTTTCTGTACACAATGATCAGAATAATGCGTTCGTATACTAATAAATTGGCAAATGCATCCCCAGTCCCACTTTACGATTTTATTGCTGAATTTATTATTTAAATTTCAGTCAATTGGTCAGTCAATTGGGCAGAGAGTTCATCAGTTAATTTGTCAGTCAATTTGTCAGTCGATTTGTCAGCCAAATCGTCAACTAATTTGTCAGTAGATAGATCAGTAAAAATAAACTTGAATCCAATGTTGGAATTGAACTTGTACTATTTTGCTTAAATATTTCACATCATATGAATTAGGCTATAGCTATTGTTTGATAAATTGAGGCAATAGATTGTTGCTATATCAATTAAACCCTACTAGTAGAGTCACGTACATCTAAAACTATGGGTGTACCACCTCGGGACCATGAGTTGTTGGATTATGAGTACCTATCATGATTAAGTAAATATACAATGTATATGTAGAGGGAACTCCTTCCACACCGCCCCCTGCTTTTCCAATACCCAATCCACCCTTTTCACCTCCCCACAGCTCCCCCTCCCACTCCAGCTCTCCCCGCTCCAGCTCTCTCTTCTCCCCCTCCTCTCTCTTCCCTTTCCCCTCCCCATCAGCAAGATTGCACATATTCATGAGTCTTCCAACAGTCTCCTGGGTCTCCTGAGGTTCTCCTGAGACCTCAAAACGGATTTTAATTCTCTGGAGACACAGGAGAAGCTTTACAGAGTTTGTTGAGCTTGCTGATGCCCCCTCCCCCATCCCGCTCCAGCTCTCAGTCCAGCTCCACCTCCCGCTACAGCTCCAGCTCCCCGTCCTGCTCCAGCTCCAGCTCCCCCTCCCGCTCCAGCTCCAGCTCCCAATCCCCTTCCAGCTCCTCCTCCCACAATCCGTCCACTTCATCTACCAACTCCTAATCTCACTCAGATCATATTATATCAATATTTAATAATAGAGCTTTTTAATTTAATTATACAAAGATAAAGACTCAACGGTGCACTCCCATGCCCAAATATTATCAGTTCCATGCTCGGATATTCGCGATTCCATGCTCAAATATTCGCAGTTTCATGCTCAAATATTGATTTTTGTGCTTATTAAATACCCTATCGTTCTCGACCAATCAGACTGCAAGAACCTCGAAAAATCATTATTCTAGTACATAGTAGAAATGCATAAAAATCTATTGAGTCCAAAATTGGGAGAGTATGTCAAATACCTTGACGGGGAGCATATTTTAACACCAATTTGTAAGGTCACTGTGAAATCACTAATGAGTTTTCAGACTATAAATCTATGACTTTACTGATGATTTTCCAGCAAGAACACTTTTCTGATTAGTTTTGTCCAGAAAGTCTTGGGAAAAGTCTTTGAGTAAATATTAACTGATGTATATACTTCCTAGAACACAATTACTAAAACATTTACAAATACATTTTACGCATCTATTAATCGAATGAAAACATCTATCACGAACCTCATTTCGACCCAGCCCAAATCCCTAAAATGAATTGATTACGCGAAGAGGAGTGAGTCATCGTTTATTTCTGGAAGATTCTGTAGTGTTAGTAATCGGTTGTTATCTTCTTGTTATATAAGGGTCTCTCACCCTTTCTTGTATCTCTTTCCTTACTTCTATATGCAGCATCTTGTATTTTACTTTGGATTATCACTATGGGGGATTTATTTCGCTTCAATACAGACTCTATCTCAAGCAACGTTATGTCTGCTGATCCAATATGACCATCTCGATCGTCATTGCTGCCCTCTGGGCATTCTCTACCTTTGCTGTCTACCTCGTGCCCCTCGTCACTCTTATCTCCCCCCTTTCGGTCATAATGACTTTCGCTGCCTATGTCACTGTCCTCGTCCTCGTACAAGCCACTCTCCACATCATCCAGTGCACCGCTTTCCCTCGTCTTAGTTCGAGCCCCTCTCGGTGTTTTTCAACCCCTACCGCTATGCCTCGCCCATGGTTCCTTACAACATTACACGATAACTTTAACTATTACTTCACTTACTAAATATGGTAGAAGGACAGAGTTTAACCGTTAACGACTTTCGATATGATTTTCCATACGATTTTCTCAATGAGTATCTGTAGAAAACTTTTCAGTAAATGTGTTCTTCGTAGATTATCATTGGTAAAGTTATCCATAATGCATGCACCATACGATTTTACATAACCCGCAACAGGATATGCATCAGTTGATGCATTTACGTGCCCGGCTGACGTGTGAAATGCATCATTTGATGCATTTACCGCCGTGGTAGAGGCATACATAAGTGCGAGAATAGGTTTCACTGACTGCGAACATAACTCTTATGGCACGTGTCTCCGAATAGGCAAAGATCGTTGTGTCGAGTTAAAAATGGAGGTAGAGCCGAAGGAGATTGAAACTTTCATTTCCCCTCGTATTCCCGGATGAACACGAACAATATTGTGTGGCATCTAAACACGCATAATGAGAGGTAAATACCTTTATGCGAGGTAAGGGTTAGGGCTATTTCAGCTGGTCTCCAGGGCGTTCACTCCCTCAACGGATTGGTACATAATAGTAGCTGACTCTACTTTTCTGTCTTTCCCGGGACAATGATGGGTCTTGTCCTATGACGAATTGACCACAGAAGTCAACTCTATGGTTAGCTGAAACTCACCATTCGCCATTACCCAGTTTCGACATCGTACAAGAAGGTACTATAATACTAACTATCCTTTCTATAAGGCAGCGCAGCAGAACAATGTCTGGGTATACTCTTATGAAAAAAATTTTTTTTTTTTTTAAATCATGTAGCTTTATTGCATGAAAGCACCTCTCCCCGACCTGTTGAACAAGAAAACACAACCCCAGATGAAAGAACAAAGTAGAAAACTGAGACGCGAACGGAAATCACTCGAAGTACAAAGGAAAGATGAAAACACCCTGGCAGCCCTTATTTCCGACATAGGAAATCATCCTCCATGGTTTTAATGATAAGGATACCTTGATTTTATACGCGGGGCCTTTGGAACATTGCCGAGCCAGCTCACGTGCCGCCCCTCAGTCCCTGCGCGGTTAGGGCATATCACTAAACATAGGTATCTTGGCACACAGAACGCTTGGCGCTTCACCACCTGTCCCATTTGTCGAGGGCACCCCCCACGACACCAACATCTGCGCCCAACACTCCAAACACCCCAATCTCCTCGTCAGTCTACAAACAACGAGCAACTCTAGACACCAATCCTGCCCAACAAGCCCCACCGACGCAGACACTCTAGTGCAGCGATCGACCTTTACGTGGATGTGGTCCACCCGGCGGGCATGGCGGCGATTGGTCAATAAGCGCATCGAGGACAACCATCAATGATAACAAAAGTGAGAATCGGCAAAGTACGCTTCTTTCAACGGCATACTTGGTGCTGCTGTCGGTACACTAGATTGCGGCGCGGTTAGGAACCCCCTCCCTACCCTCCCACCCCAGACGGATAGCTACGCGTATGGGCTGAGCATGGTACAAAAGGCCCTAGAACAATCAACGCTACTCCGCAATACTAAGCCTAGCTCCGCAATACACGCCTCAAAGTGCTGACACCTGATACAGGCCCGGTTATATCCGCGTACACCCCCCCAAACCACGCGCTGCGGAAACGGAAAGCCAAACAACCCCCAGTCTGCGGCGAGATAAGCGCTAGAAGACCGCCGCGTGGCCAAGCACGACCGCCGCCGTCCCGCTACGTTACCCCACCTCGCCCCTAGCGTCCTGGCAACGCCCGCAACGGTCAAGACAACGCTACATGCAACATCACTCCCTCTGCCATCCATCCCACCGCACCACAGACATACCCACTGCCGAATATGGCCATGTTGTGACCACAACCCCTGCGTCGCGCTGCGCTGGTGGCGTAAGAGGTAGTGAGTGGTGTTGAAGAAGGTTCGCGGTAGTTAAGGGACTTTTTCTTGAAATAGGACGCTCGACACGTTTCATAGTTCTGGAAGATTCTCATCATTTCATTATAGTATTTGTCATCGGCGTATGACTCACTTTCCTATTAGTCATCCTATTACTCACACGTCTATGACTCATTGTATTTCTTTTGTCCTACCTTTCATTAGTATAAATACGGGGCATTCCCCCTTAGCTAGAACAATAACACGATCAATTACTTTACTTCTCCTACATACTTTCTCTAGGTTATGAGCCCGGAGACCACTCACGCTTATACACTCTTCACCATTTTTACCACAAAGTACACTTTCTCGTTTCACTTTCAATCATGTCTGAGAGGAGCATCAAAATTCCCGCACTCCCATGCAAGCTGGATGGTCTAGGCCATTACACTGTATGGAGGGACCTTGCTACCCGCATGCTGAAAGTTCACGATCTGTGGAACTTGGTCAATGGTTCGAGCAAGCGTCCCGTGTTGACAACCACCACCACTACTGTAACTACCACGGCACCACAAGCATCAGGAAGCAAAGCTGAGGATGAAGAAGACGAAGAAGAAACCTCCGACAATGCCGAAGAAATCAGCGACTGGGACAAAAAGGACAATCTTGCGGTTGTATTCCTTCAATCTAACATCGAATTCGAAGTTATTCTCACACTGACACCGGCCGACACCGCTCATCACCTCTGGACTCAACTCGAGGACAGATTCGATCGGAAAACCGTCGCCTCCCTCCACTCGCTCCTCGCCAATGTCGTCACACTACAGTACACACCCGACAAGGGTATCAAGGAACATCTAACCCAGTTCAACACTCTTTGGTCATCTCTCCTCACTAGAACTAGTAACTCTACGGACAAGACCAAAGACCCACTCGGTTACCACCTTCACCAACTCGCATCTGTCTCAGAAGCGAAGGCATCCTTCCTACTCCTCTCACTCCGGCACGAATCCCTCGAATCAGTCGTTGACAACCTGCAAACCAAGCCCAACGTCACCTTCGATGACGTCTACGAAAAGCTGTTGGATCTGGACTCACGGCGCAACAACGATGGACAGGCGGCTGGAGAAGCCTACACAATCAGGCGAGGAAACCTAGGACACGGAAACAACAACAGAGTCAGGAGGCCACGTAACAACGAAACAGGAAATCAGGACGTCACATGCACCTGGTGCACCAAGAATGGAGAATATGCAAAAGGCCACACGCACAAAAATTGCCGGAAACTCAAAGCTTTCAGAGACAAGGAGAAGTCCGCTGCATCTGGCAACCTCAACGTCGCATCTGGTACTGCATTTCACACAAAACTCGACCTCTCTTGGATCCCCGATCCTTCTGGCCTTCCCGCACTCGAAGAAACCGATGTGTTCACAATGCCGGTTGACTTCGACTTCACCAACTTCTCAGATGACACCTCGGATATTACCATGGAAGATTACTTTGGCTTCATTGCAGGACCTTCCACCACCGATAACAAGGCGTGGATCTTCGACCCTGGTGCAACCAACCACATGACCGGAACGCTGGTTACCGACCCGACTCCCTATACTGGAACAGTTACTGTTGGAGGAGGTCGCAAACTCCAGATAACCGGAATTGGCAACGTCACCATCAACGGATCACATGGCCTGATCACTCTGCAGAAAGTATTCTTGATCCCCGAATTAGGCAATACCAACCTGATGTCTTGGTCTTGCATCGCTAAAAGGGGATTCACAACAATTGGGACGGAAGACGGCTTCACCATCTACAAACCGAATAGCAAGGAAATCATCGGGATCGCTAACGCAAATAGTACAGGTCTCTACATTTTTGAAACCAAGGAACCCTGCGCACACCTCTCTGCCGCCACCAGCTTCTATGACTGGCACCAACGGCTCGGACATCTCCCCGCTTCCTCGCTCTCACGGCTTCGCACCATGGTGGCTGACCCCAAGTCTCTCCCCACATCTGGTAACATGGAAACATGCAATACATGTGAACTCGCTAAATCAACCAAGTCTCACCTCGCTCCTCTCACCGAACCACAATCCAAACAACCACTGGAACTAATAGACTCAGATCTGAGCGGCAAGTTCTCGACTCCTTCTCTGGGCGGTTTCAGTTACTATATCACATTCATCGACGATTACTCCAGGTACGCTCACCTCTACTTCCTCAAAAAGAAGTCAGATGCAACAGCTGCCACAGAACGATACATCGCGTATATGGAAAATCAATTGGACAAAACGGTTTAAACGGTTTCGAAGCGATAATGGTGGCGAGTACACCTCCAATGACCTTCAACAATTTTTCGCCTCTAAAGGCATAAAGCATGAATTCACTGTACCTTACTCTCATGAGTCAAATGGAACAGCAGAACGCTTTAACAGGACTATAGCAACAATGGCACGATCCGCCTTGCTCGACCACAACCTCCCAAAAAATCTATGGGCAGAAGCGATCAACACCATGGTACACGTCAAAAATCGACTCCCGCACAAATCACTCCCGAATATGACACCATACGAAGCACTCACCGGCAAGAAACCCTTTATTGGGCACCTCCGATCCTTCGGTGAAACCATGTTCATACACATACCCGTCGAAGCACGACCAGCTGGAACAAAACTGGATGCAAGGGCTATAACGGGACAATTCTGCGGATACGGAGATTCTGAAAAAATCTGTCGCGTCTACATACCATCACAAAGGAAAGTAGTTCTCTCTCGTCATTTTAGGTTTAAAGGTACATCCGTAGGGGAAGAAATCGAAGTCAAAACAAAAACCGACACACCCCCTAAACCAAAACAAATCGAGATCAAACAAGAACCATCCTCACGTCCGTCAACACCAAAACAACATAGAACATACGACGACGACCCAAGTGACGATGACATGATCAACCAACAAATAATGCGCGAAACCATGGAACATTTCTCCGACACTGATTCGGAAGACCACGCAAGTATAGTGAGGGCCGGCTATACGAGGCCCGCCACTGAACGTACCCCGCATGATGATAATAAAACAGATACTGATCAACCGAGACGTAACCCAGTACGGGAACGGAAACCTCCGATCAGATACGGACACAACATTCAGCATGACACTACCCTAACAGAACCAACAAACTACCACCAAGCGATCAACAGTCCCGACTCCGAAAAATGGCAGAATGCTATGAGAGTTGAACTCGACTCACTGGCAAGAAATAACACATGGAATCTGGTCAACACACCGGATCACCGCAAACTGGTCGACTGCAAATGGGTATACAAAATCAAACTCGGGCCCGATGGCAACCCCATACGGTACAAAGCCCGACTAGTCGCAAAAGGTTTCTCACAGGTCCCTGGTCAAGATTTCGATCAAACCTATGCCCCCGTCACCCGATACGAATCCATCAGACTACTCCTCGCTCGCTGCCTTCAAACCGGCGGTCAATGCGATCAGATGGACGTCACAAGCGCATTTCTATACGGCGAACTTAAGGAAGAAATCCACATGAAATCTCCTCCAGGCTACCCCACTCCCGGCAAAGCATGCAAACTAATCAAATGCATCTACGGACTTAAACAATCATCAAGGGAATGGTATGCCCGCCTCTCAAAAGCGCTAATCAAAATAGGATTCAGAAAAGCAGACTTCGACCCTTGTGTCTTCATACACAAAACAGGGGAAGTTGTCATCGCAATATATGTAGACGATATCCTCATCTTCTACTGGTCCGTTGAACGCAAAAACCGCGTCAGCCTCCTCCTCCATTCTGAATTCGAAATGACGGAAACTGGCACAGCCAACTGGGCACTCGGAATCCACTTGATCCACACTAAGACTGGTATCATCCTATCACAGGAAGCCTATCTCAAGCGTGTACTTATCAAATATGGCTTCGACGAATCCAGACCTGTGGCAACACCCATCGACAACAACGTCCACCTCCAAAAAGGAACGGAAGCTGAGAAAATCGAAGATCCAACAATATATCAGTCAATAATCGGTTCACTCATGTATGCAGTAATCGGCACTAGACCCGATCTCGCCTACACCGTCACCATGCTCTCACAATTTTCTTCCTGTCCCACTAAGGCTCATCTAGCTGCAGTCCATCGCGTCCTCCATTATCTCAAAGGTACCCTCGATTGGTCACTCTTTTACGCCAAAACGCGACCAACTGCACTCATCGGCTATAGCGACGCAAGCTATGCCTCCGACATCGACGATCGCCGTTCATTCACCGGCCACTGCTTCATGTTAGGGGAAGCCCTCATCTCCTGGCGCTCTTATAAGCAACGATCTGTCGCCACTTCTACAACTGAAGCGGAATACATGGCCCTCTCGGACACCAGTCGACAACTGATCTGGTTAAGGAATGCAATCCACGAACTGGAACGAAAACCAAATCTCTCTTTCATTCTTCGAGGCGATAACAACGGTTCTCTCTCCTTGGTTAAAAATCCTGTCTTTCATAAAAGGTCTAAACATATTGACGTACATTTTCATTTTGTTTGGGAACGGTTTGAGGATGAATTATTTGAACTGGAATATATTTCTACGAACGAGAACGTGGCGGATTTACTCACTAAAGGATTGGATAAAGGCAAACATGTTTTATTTTCTTCTACTATTCACTGTGGCTCACGAGGGGAAGTCTTGAAATAGGACGCTCGACACGTTTCATAGTTCTGGAAGATTCTCATCATTTCATTATAGTATTTGTCATCGGCGTATGACTCACTTTCCTATTAGTCATCCTATTACTCACACGTCTATGACTCATTGTATTTCTTTTGTCCTACCTTTCATTAGTATAAATACGGGGCATTCCCCCTTAGCTAGAACAATAACACGATCAATTACTTTACTTCTCCTACATACTTTCTCTACTTTTGTGTACCGAGATGCGGGAGTCTGTTTGGCGCTTAGGTGGTGGGAGGTTGGGAGGTGATGTTTAAAGGAGTCCGGATGGTGGGGGGGGGGGGTTGGGCGCTGTGTGTGTGTGAGGATGGCGGGAGGAGTGCTTAGAGTATGCCGGGAATGCTGCGGTGGGTGTGTTTTAAAGTGGAGGGAACGGTGGGGAAGGTTGGATAGATGCTTTCACTATGATCGGTCGGTACTGTTGCGCCTCGATGAACCTAAGGGTACGTCAACAGACATACACTCATCCGGAGGCGTCGGGGACGTGGTAGTATGTCCATTTGGTGGTTAGGATGCTTGGCTTGTGCATGTAGGTAGCTTTTAATATATACACACTCCCATATCGATGTGTGGGGACGTTTGGAGTCCCCGCCCTCTGCAACCCACACAAATATCACCTCGGTGATCAAGATGTAAGCGGTGGGGATGTACGAAGTCTTGTATTGTACGGTGCGTGCGTGAGTGTGTGCGACGCCGCTAGATCCGGCTTTATGATTTTTTATCCGTGACTTTGGCGGGAAAGGGGGGGGGAGGTATTTACGGTGGTGGTGGGCGGTGGGACTAGGCGGTGGACTTGGCCGGTTATCTGTTGCTGCGGCAGTGGATATATGTGGATACAATACCAAGAGACATAATATTCACTGCACATTGAAGCGCGGGGAGGAAGTGGACTTTAATGCCCTAAATCTCCAAACCGCCACATCCTGAACAGAATAGACAACTTCCGCTCCACCCAGCTCACCGCACCGCACCGTCCGGCTAGGTACCAGGTACTATCCGGACAATGTCATCTCTTCCAGACACGGCACATCACCACCACCACCATACCAATCACAACAGCCATATCAGATACCACCGCGGCCAGAACCGCTGCAAAATTCAGCGCTGGGAAGAACAGCCGAACACCTGCCTGATGATCGGTCACACCCCGCCACCCTAACGATAGCGGAGCTCCGAACGGTGCAACGCTTAAGATGCGAGGGCCAAGACTCGCGGTACCGGGAGCTCCTTGGATGACTGGTTACGTGCTAACAACCCCCCCCCCCCCCGGCTCATGGATAGTAATGAAATATCTCGTATCAACGTAATCAGAGAGCTAAAGATCCATAGAACATACCTCATGCGTATGGATCCCGATTGCCGACTTTGTGGGTTATTCTTTTAGGAGATTTCTGCTGGTCGGTATGCGGGAATCACGAAAACCTTTGTCGCGCGGCGTTATGTTGATGGGCGGATGGGTATCTATCTCGATGGGGTCGGGTACACGCTTGCTATGTAGTTCTTTTCTGTCCCCCGCGAAGCGATCAGGCGTCAGGAGTGCTGCGTCATGTCACCTCCTCCACTCCCCCCCCAATCTCTGCAAAAGCAAAACACTACAACATGCGACCATTCCCCCCTCCGACCATCCCTGCTATCTCACCGCACCGGAGACCCTATCAATTGCTACATCTGCACCTTTTTCCTCCAGGCAGAAGGAAAAAGCGTTGTCGAGAATGAAGTAGAGTCACAAGTTGTCACTCGCCCCGAATATTTTGTACGAAATTTTTTTTTTTGTTTGGTTTGGTTTGGTTTGTTGGTTGGCCGTACTGTGCGAATATCACAGGAACATACGCAAACTGACTGATTACAACTCATGCCGCGCACCCCTACGGTACACTTGCTTTGGTGTAGAGGAGTCATTTCATCCTCACAGAAAGGATGATAATCGGCCTAGTGAGGTAAAGTCGTACTCTTTTGCTCGTTTGTGGTAATTCACCGGAATTATGAGATTTAGGGGGTGGTCTTTCCCTATTGGGAGGAAAATAAGGTTCAGTCTGCTGTTTTGGGACTTGGCGAATTTTCTTATCAAAGTATCAAGCTAGTCTTTGGGGGTTATCGGGGGGGAAGGGTGAACTACCTTTTCCCTCCCACTACCCTACATCATATAGTGATAGAACACATACCTGATATCTTCTCCCATGGCCCAGATGGTACAGCTTCTATTCCACATCTACAATGATGCAAGTTCAACCCCCGGTTATAGCTGCAGTATTTTATTTCTATTTTTGATACAATACCAGTATGTTACTCACTAGTATCATAGCATAATTCACCACCATATTACCATTGTTCATCCAATTAGATCTACTATTGTTTTGGATTTCGTCCTTAAATGCGGGTAACCTAGGCCACCTCGTATCCGTGGTAATTTACCATTTCGAAATTGTACCGTAGGGGCTCTATGCTTATAAACACTGTATGTAATAGAGCTAGGTTGGGCGCGCTGGAGATTAGTTTGGGCATTACTTCCGTAGTGCGCCGCGGCTGCTTCTTCTGGTGCGGGATTGTTTCCACAGCGCCTTCCCGAATCCGCGTTGTTTCTTTTGGTAGCTGTCTTGCTGGTGGTGGTGGGATGCCCGTGGGGGATGGGAGGCTGGTGGCGCTTGGTATGGACTCCAGAGGGCGGCGGCGGCTGCGGGGGTGAAGGTACTGGCAGTATCCAGCATGCCGTCTAACTATTCCCGGGCGGAGGGACCGAGAGGTGTTAGTGCTAAACTACCACATCACGGTGGGAATAGAACACCACCGATAATCGAGACTCTACGGCTGCACAGCTCCCTGACTCGCGCGATATACCGCTGCGCGGCGCTACACGGATTGGTCTCGGGGTGCCGGGTAGGGCTGGGTGCGCATCGCTGCGTGGTACGCTGTCCTGGAGTGGGATACGTACCTCAGCTTGGTGGCATTGTTATCGTGTCTAGTCGGGTTCTGCTTATCGCGCACGATCGTTTGCAGCTGTCGCTGTACGACCTCCGCGGCTCTCCCTACCCCCAGCGGACGCTACAAGCTGCTGCAGCTTTCACGCCCCGGCGTCTCGTTGTCGCGGAGGAACACACTCCCAACACCAACCCTCCCCTCTCTTCCCACCCGCCGCGAAGCCGCTCTCCGCCGACCATGCGCCCCACACCGTCCAGGCCACCACCTCCACACCGCCGCTACCATCCCACCACCGCAAACGTGCCGCCACAGCAGCACCGCAACCTATGCCACAGAGCCCGCACCCGACACACGAGCGCATCCACGCCACCCCGCCGGGAGCATCTACCTCGCAGAGCCGCATCCCAGTCTCGCGGGAATGCATGCATGCATGCTGGGATTAGTCATGATCTGCGTTAGCGATGCAGGTACGCTCGCTACCCCGCTGTCTTGGCGCGCGGGGTCCATCGCGGGGAGGTGATGGACAAGGGCTAGCCGGGACTCGGAGCGGGACGGGCGAAGGAGGAGAGTGGGAGGGAGGAAGGAAGGATGGATAGATGGATGGAACAGTTCGCAGGGGGATGTGCACTTCTGTCTCCCGGGCGATGCCGCATGGAGATGGAGGGAGGAAGGCTTTCTACCCATCCTCTCTAAGTTAGAGACGACCACCTAACCAACAGAAGGCTCGGTCTCCCGTCCCGTTATACTTTGCTTCTTGCACATCCCCGTACGGTTATGGGCTCCACGAGTGCCGACGAGGCCTCGCCTACCCCACGGCTCGATCAACCCTGCTGTGTTTGATTCTGCTGCGTGTGTGGGGAAGAGGCGGTACGTACCCCTCCAGACCGCAATTCGCGGAAGCCATCCTGTCGCGGGCTCAGTAGCGGGACTACAGAGCGGGAGCCGCGGCGGTACGTTCTCCGCCCTCTACTCACGAGCACAAGCGACGGGAGATATATATCGCGGGTGTCTCGATGTTCGCTGTATACCGTCTGAAAGCTCGCTGCTCATGTGCGGTGCGCTCGGCGGCTACGGTACCCTTATCCGCGGCACCTCTTCTTCGGACTCATCCAACCCCCGCCCCCACGTAGCCTTTAGCATTAACCCTCCCGCAACCCCCACCGCAATAAACATAATCCAAAGGGCACAAAACGAGAATATAACCTCCCAACCGAGCATACAGCACACCAACGAAAATCTCTCCACCCTCCTCCCTCTCTGCACTGCGCGCGAGTTTCATGGGCTCACAATTCTCGCCCTAGATCCGGTCTCGTTCCCGGGCTCGCACCTCTTCTGGTGGCCGACGATTTCCGGGCGATCTTGTACCGGCTGCGCTGACTTCCAAGTGGTTTCGGTACCCGTGACCCGACACCTAAGCAGGTCGGGAGGGCAACTTCTATGTGACCCAGAAGAGCGCTTGCCGTGCCAACACCGACTTCTACGACAACCTCCGGCGGCCAAGTCATGCTTGTAATTGCTGTACGTCATGTTTTTCGTTCTAGTGCGGGAATGCGCGGCTTGATTGGCGGCGGTAATCGCTTTCCTCTGAGTTGTGATGGGATGGTGGTTTTGGCGCCTGGAGGGGGGTTTGGTGGGTGGAGACTGATGCATATGGGCACTGAATGCGTGTAGGACCCCCATTTTTCAGTGTGGAACAATGGGGTAGTGTTCTCCCGGCTGTTGGAGTAGGATTCTCGATCCTTTGGCTCCACTGCCAGTGCCACCACTGCCCGCCGCCACCACTGATAAACCGCCCAGTTATCGAAACCCCCCTCCTACACAAACCTAGCTCGATCGAGAAACAAACATCGCACACCAAGCCCAGCACTAATCCCTCAAGCGCAGAGATCATCTCAGTTGCGGCCCCCCTTATTTAACCCGAACGCTCCGCCAGCGACCCTCCGACTCTACATCGACACAGGTGGATCATGCCTAGCTTAATTAACCGTTCCTTAATTCCAGCCTCCTGTGCGGCTCCGTCGGCGGTTGGTGTGTGCGTATAGAGGGCGGAAATGCGAGAGTGCGGAAATATTCTCGGAAAGGGGGGGGGGGGGATTTTCAGTGGGGGACTAGGTGCTGGGAGGGTGAGAGTGTGGGTATGGCGAGAATGTGGGCTTTTTTCTTTTGGAGGGGGGGGGGGGGGATGGAGGGCGGGAAGGCTTGAAGGCGGGGAAGGTGATAAGGGAGCCGGTGCGTGTGGCGTGCTCTCTTGCAGCCACAGACGTGTACCATCCAGGAACGCGAGTTAATACCGGAACGTCCACGGATGGCCTGCAGGTTGTATCTCCACGTATTGAGGAATGCCTGATAGAGCGAGGCGGTTTCTAGGTCTTGATATCTATCTGGTGCGATAGACAACAACTTAATTAATATGTGCGAAGAGATTGTTCCCAAGGGACTTTAAAACTCGTCGGCGTGTGTGCCGGTCCTTATCTAGAGATACGGGATCTGTTAATATCCGTTCATATACCTACTAAATTAAATAGAAATTGGTCAGGCCCGCCGTATGGGACTGTTCATGAAAGATTGATGGTCCGAGAGAAAGAGAAACTGCCCACAAACATGGCTTTGGAATTATGCTGAGTATAGCAGTGCATTCTTCAATTGGGGGCTCAAATTACGCCTTATACGTGGGTGGTTTCCGGGGGCGGGAAAGTGGTGACAACACTCTTGTACTTTTGAGAGCGGATGATTTTTATTTTCTTTTCGCCTTTGCCCTATCTATTCATAGCTGTGAAACCGTTTCTTGCAGACTGCTAGAAGGAGTCCTCCAAAGTGAAACTACGTAGCTCATCGGTGAAAATAATGGAAAGATAAAAGAAACTTAGCTTGCATGGAAGGAAATTACAATTGTCAAAAAGAATAAATGAAAGCAACCATAAATGAATATGAGCTCAGAGAGACCGAAAATAGAAAGCGAACAACAATGCATGCTCTACTAGCAATGAATCAAGTGATGCATTACCCGCCAAAGCGAATAGGGTAAATGAATCAATTGCTTCGTTTACCGGGGACGTCGTTGGTAAGTGACACAAGTGATTCATTTACCCCAAGTGATGCATTTACAGAGTGACTTTTCAAAATGCATTAAAGCAGTATTTTCACTATGTTCCGGTTATTTATGCATGAAGATCTGTATTATGTGGCGTAGGTGGTATAATGTAGCGAGTGTTCCTTAATTGAGTTCGATCCCCACTGCGAGCAGCGTTTTAATTGCTTTTTGGCAATGTGTTTAATCATTATTGAATGTGTCAAATAAAGGGGCATATTGAACTAAGGGATTCATTTCCTGATTCATTAACACATAGTAAAAACGTGACATTTCCCAATGTCATTAACCACCCAATCTAGATGACTCATTTCCCACCAAAATCCTATCGTGGCGAAATGATTCATTTACTCATTCATTTACCTACCCCGTAGAGATGCATATTCTTTTTTTTGTTTAATTCATAATGCATGCATATGCAATCCCACCCACAATATCCCATGGTCTGCAGCAGAAGAAGCAAAGAACCCCACCATGTCCAAAGTACCATCTTTTAATGACAGTACAGAAGAAACTAGAAATCGGTGCCACCGTATATTTCTCCTCACAGAAGGTATGACCACTAAATACATATTTCTCCAACCGGATCAAACATGCGCAAATGAATATGGGGCCATATGTTCTTGCCACTCAGCATCTTGAATCACTATATCCAACGAATCCTCGCATTTAGAATCATCCTGACATTCTGGCCTATCCTGCCTCTTTGTGGTGCGATTGTCCCCCGACTGTCCCTGGCAGCTCCAGCGCTGGATAATCTCAGATCACTGGGGGGCGGTGATTGATATCTCGTCGCTTCAATGAGTATATTCCTAGTTCGTTCAAGTTTTAACCTGTGAAGCCGGTGTCCCCTGATAAAGTGTCTTATTAATACGAAGGGCGTTCTTTCGCGTTCACCCAGCGAGTTGGATACGTGGTTTCGAGAGACCGATCTGTATATGGACTCGGAGGCTATGCTGAAGTTTTCTGATTGTAAGAACGTTTTGCAAGAACAGAAACATATGGGGCGTAGCACTTCCTTCAACACCGCCTCCACAAAATCAAGAGGTGATTGCCTATCGATGTGTCCAGAGGTAACATCGGCACCTGCTTTTATTAAGAGCTTTGCAGCAGCCTCGCTTCCAGTATATGCTGCCCAGTGAAGCGGAGTGAATTGCTGGTGGTCCAGAGCCCGATGGCTGGCCCCGTGGCTTAATAAGACGTCAATCATCGCTTCGTCATCACGTCCTGCCGCCCAATGAAGTGCTGTATGTAATAGGTTGTTTTGAGCGTTGTTGTCCGCGCCATGAAAGAGTAAGGTTTGTATAATACCAGGCTGAGAAACCCTCGCAGCAAGAAGAAGTGGTGTATTGCCATCATTGTCACTTAACTCGAGATTAGCGCCCCGCTCGATGAGAAATCCAAAAACACATTCCTTCCTGATTCGCGTGGATGGATGACGCTTAGTTCTCGCGGTCTCTTGGTACATGTTTAGGCTCCAGTCATCGCGGTCTGAATCGTCTCGATAGTAGGAGTTGAGAATCGTTATACAGTGTAATGCCGTCCGCCCATGCAAGTCCTGGGAATCAATTTCGCATCCTTTTGACAACAGGTATTCCACAACAGATTCATCACCGGACTCTGCCGCTAGATGTAGTACTGTCAAACCACGGTTGTCCTCGCAGTGAATGTTGGCCCCAGAATCGACTAGGGTTTGTACACCACTTAGATTACCGCAAGCGGCGGCTTTATGTAAAGGAGTACAGTTATCCTGGTCTAGGGATTCTATATCCGCGCCCTTTCCAATCAAGTAGCTGATGAATCTTGAAGAGGCGCGCGCTGCTATATGCAGAGCCGTCTGCCCTCTGAATTCTGGTAGGTCGGATCCACTGCATATAGAATTAATATCAACACCTATATCAAGCAAATATCCGACACACTCTTCATCCTGGTGGGTGACCGGGATATGAAGCAGATCCCCGCCATGACTGTCTTCAGAGTTGGCCCCGTGCTCAATCAAGATGGGTAGAATATCTTTTTTACGGCCACGTGCCGCTGACAGCAGTGGAGATTGACCTCCCACCCCCCGGTGATGGATTCCGGCGTTATGTTCACACAAAAGACGGACAATTGATGGATGGTCCGCAGTTATCGCCTTGTCTAGTGCCCTCCACCCCTCAACATCCTGCGCTTCAATATTTGCACCTCCCTCAAGGAGTAAAGACGCTATAGCTCTTTTTCCGCACGCTGCCGCTATATGCAATGGGGTATTTCCATTGTGGTCTCTGGATTCGATGGATGTTGCTTCGTGGAGGAGTATATATTCTACCATAGCCCGGTGCCCAATGAATGTTGCTATGTGAATTTGAGAGTGAACTCTCCATAATACCGAACGTTGGATATCCCCCTTCAACATCCATATATATTGATATAGGACTTGCAGGTAGATGGTTGTTTGTTTGGGTTCAGAGAGAAACTCACGTATGTATGGGAGTGTTTTTAGCTCATCGAACGTGAGGTGGTAAGATAGACTAATCGCAATATATTCTAGTAGCGGATGGGACCCAACGCATTTCTCATAGGAGTCGCTGTCGATCATGACATCTTCGTAGTTTGTACTGAAGTAACTATTGACCACCTCATACTCGATCAAAGGAAGATCAAAGGAAAGATATGTCAAACTTGCCCGAGCAATGATTTGATGCATATCATCCGCAATTATTCCCTCCTTGAGCAAATATTGATGCACAGTGAAATGTGTCAAACGAACCTCTTTACTTATCTCATTGATCATGACAAGGCCACAACATGTATCTAGTATGATAGCCGGAGGAGGCACACGGTCCTTGTCAAGTTCGTTGTGACCTAGCTTGATTGCAACCGCGTCTTGGAGCTCTTGGAGTGTAAGAAGTCGGCGAGCTGCGACCAGCCGTGTGAGGATCTTGATGGCAAGCTTAACAGATCGGGGGTTCTGAGCGCGGATACTGGTCATTATTCTGTCGTAGGTCCTATCCATTCTCGTTTCTTGGTCCCCGGCGCTTCGGATCTTCGAAAGTTCGGCTAATATATCGTGTCGAGTTGGCTGCTGACAAAGAAAGTCCACATTGAGACTAATAAATAATATCCTGGCCGCCTATCAGAATCATCTTTGAGGAAGATCAAATCGAAAACTGTACATACACTCCATTCGCAGCGCTGATAAGATTTGAAATGAATTGATCTTCTATCTTGCTACCCATAATCAGACCCTTCGCCCGCGGCATCATGTCGATTCTGTTGTCGATGTAAACTTTGATATCTTTATCCTGCGCCACGTAATTGATACAGGGCACATCCCTAAACGAATCCTGAATATCGATTGGGTGTGGCCGACTCGTCACTAAGAGGTTGAAACCATTGGTTTTGAGTTGATGAAATAAGGGAAGTAACGCCTCCCTTTGGTCTTCCTGGTCACATTCATCCAGGGCGTCTAAAACTATAAATGAACGCGTGAAGAGTTTTGCCAACTGCAATAATAAGGAACGAAGTTCCTTAATATCTGGTCTTCTTTGGTATCCAGTGCACTCATCATATAACACCACCAGTTTGTTGGGAAACTGGGGTAGTTGACCAGCTAGCTGTTTAATAACACTGGACATGATATCAATGGGCCTTTGGTGGTCCCTCTCTTTGTAGTCAAAGTAAATGTACGAAACTCCGACACTACCAGAGGCTTTAAAGCTTTCAAATAGATGATCAACGACTAATGAGCTGTGGAGGAAGTTTAATGTTGGTTTTAGACCAATGTAGGTTTAAATAAAAGATCTTTCATACCTGAAGTACGTTTTGCCTGATCCGGCTATAATGTTTTCAGTTAATATCATTACGAACGTAGAAGATAGAAAAGTAATGGTACTCACCAATGCCCGCAACCCAAAGCAGTGAGGATGATTCTGAGTCCCCTCCCAACCACCGAGAGAACTCAGGAGTACTCAAAGCCCATGTACCGATCCCATCACGACGCTTATCGGATAAGTTCTCATGTCGCTTTGCTATATCTTCCAAAAAAAACCAGTCCAAGATTTTCTGCGCCTTAGATTTTGCTATAGACATAGCCATAGTTAGCAAAGTCCGCTTTGTGGAATTGAATGGTCCTATTTGTTACATACCACGTTGCGATAATGTTTCTGTACCCCGACCTTACGTATAATCAATACTTTAGCAACATACGTCCTAACACATTATATATCCTCTCTGCTGTACTCACCGGATAATCTTTGGAGACTGTCCACCCATCTAGTCATGTAGTTGACAACCGATCTATACGGACTATCTACCCCCGCAGAAAACTTGACAATATCTCTGTGATTACAATCCACAGGGATTCGGTGCTCAAATGGCCAAAAAAGCATTGCAGAGTTTTTATTCACCATCTGAAGATCCTCGCCATCTCTAGCCCAAGAGCCTGACGAACCCTTGATCCAAACCTTAATAAGCGCGCGAGGCATATCATAGGCTTGATTTCTTTGGAACCTACCTTGCTTACAGTCGGCGTTCTCTTGATTTCATAGAATGTAGCAATTTCAATATCGGATACGGACTCCCAAAGGCTGCTAATATCCTCCCGTTGAGTATCCAGAAAGTATGAACCTTCATTAAGTTGTTTGATGAACTCGGTCTTAGATCCCGATCCTGTATCGTGCGCCATTTCCAGGAGCTGCTTGACATAAAGGCCTTGATGTGGAGTTGCAAAAAAGCTGATGGCCTTCGTACAATCAAACAAAGATCTGTACTGAAGTCTGGCCTTGGCTTGGAGGAGTACCTATCATCGATGAGCAGAGTGTAGATAGGAAATAGTTGAAGGGAATTAGCCGTATAGCGTACTTGGAGAATTAAAATACCACCCATACTATGGCCAATGAATATGATTGGTCTCGACTACAGGAATTAGCGTCATTATTCCGCGATGCTAATCGACCTCGAGGTTGAATGTTTACCTCAACCTTACTCCTCGCGTCCATCAACGCATGTATAAAGCTTCTTCTATAATCAACGAAGGTCTGCTCGACTGTGTCTCTGGTCAGACTAGAATTATAACCATAGGTCATGACCCGAATGCTCTGGAGATCAGCCGGCAAAAGATCTTGTAACCACATGCAACCGGTGTGGTTACTACACCAGGATCCAAAAGCATGGCCAGCTAAACCTGTTACTGCTACCACGCTGTAGGTGGCCCGTAATTAGCACCTATATATATATGACACATTTATCCACGTTTTTCTTGAGGCTTACTCTACAAGAACATCGTCCCCTGCAGCGTTGAGCGGTGTTAAACCAAGGAAGTGTCTATCAATGACCAAATAAATATCGGGGTCCCCCTGAATCAACTCGTACTGCTCTTGCCTTGACTCCATGCGCCGAAAGTAATCAGAGCATGTAAGCGGATCTAGTCGAAGTAGGGCTGTTAGAGTACGACCACTGCAAGCTGGGAAAAGCGAGAGCTTGAGGGCGTCCTTGAAATCAGGGTCAAAGAGCCTGAGGGCGCGAACTAGGTCATCCTTATTCCAACTTACGGGAATGCCACTGATCCGGAAGCATGTCAATTTCGACCTCGGCTTTGCCGTCGACATTGCTGCACCCGAAGATGCTAGTTGATTTTCCGTCGCGCCCTCCTCGGAAGGACCTGGCTCGGTGGGTGGACACACGCGCTTGAGGTTAGGCGTATTGTTCTCGGGTTCTAGTGAGTTTCGCTCTTCGTATGTGCGCTTTCCGCTCGATGTTTGAGCGGTATCTGCCATGATTGCTGTCTGGGGGGAGTAGTAGCAAGCGGTATTTCCAAGCTCCTCGAATGTTGATGTTTCTGTGCGGCGAGAAGGTGCTGTGAGTAAATATTAAGAGATTTGAATAAGCGGGTGGGTCTAAGTCAGGCTCCTCCGCGGGGTATTCTAGTTCAGCAGTGGGTTGCACAGCCTTGTCGAAGACAGATATGGCCCTGCACCTCCGCCACGACCGGCTCAAGTGAGACGCTTGCGGAATCTCAGAGATCTCATGCATAGCTTGATCTATTTAGGAAGAGATTGGCTGAAATAAGGCTGCGACCTGCGGGAATAGGAGGTTCAAGCAGAGTTTGGACGCGAGTGCGAACCCCCCAACACCCCAAGTGCTTGGTGTGGCAGTGCGGTCCGAGCACCTTCCGGATTGAGATATGGTACTCAAAATACCCTGTTAAAGAATATATAGTCACACACAGTTGCTACCAGAGGTGGTGTAAGATCGAGAATGTTGTTAAAGTTGGTTATTTTCATCGAGAATGAACACCAGAACCACTCGTAATGAAAAAAATTAGTAATTTTTAGTCTGTCTCTAAATATATCTATAAGCATACTAGTTATTTTTAGAGGGATGGTACCGCAGAATCTCAGGAATAACGAATCGAACTGGGCTGGAATACCACTTACCCATTGGTCAAGACGACCAAAAGTTACGCTTTAGGTCTGTCGGATTGAGGCTCAACAAGCATTTGACCAATCCGAAGCCCAATATTCCAGTCCCGTTCAATTCATTATTCCTGAGATTTTGCGGTAGTGGAAAATCACGAATTTGAGGCTTGCAAAATCGAGTGCTTTTTTGTGCTCAGTTATGTCGGCAACCTTATGGTCGCGTCCTATCAACACATCTACACCAGGAATTTTCTCTCAAAATCACCCCTTAAACTCTGGAAAAATTCGTGAAAAATTGGAACAAACTATATATAATTATACTATGACTATGAAATTTTACCTGATTTTTATCAATTTTTATCTAGTAGCTACCCTACCTGCCTGCCTGCTTACAAAACTTCGGAGGGCGTGGCTGAAGGTGGCTTTACCTGGGCCTCAGTGCTGCCATGGTTGTATGCGCGTGGTGAGACAAAATCTGAGACCATGCCGCTTGAACGTATTCCGCGTACTACAGGGGGGGGGGGGGAATTATTGTACACACTTACCAGCGTAAGAAGCAGAAAATGCAGTAGCTCAGGGCAAGGATAATTTGTATGGAGTGGCTTCGTTCTCTCATACAAATAATCCCTGTTTCCGTTACTTGCATTTTCTGGTTCTTTTGAGGGTAAGCTGTAGAAACAGGGTCTAAAAACAGGGTTTAAGTGGCTGACTCGGCCAATGGGACTCTTCCCATACTTCTACATTAACTTCCCCCCCGCTGTACCGGGTGTTGAGGGTAAGTGATCAGAATCTGATAAGTGAATGTTACGGTGAATAGGTGTATTTGTCTCATCAGATTCTGATCACTTTTCGCTACACCCTAGTACAAGAATACTCTGACATCTCCTCACCCAAATTTCGATATCACATGACATTTATGCATGAGAGAGATTTCGCAAATGTCTCACGCGCCCAAGGGAAAATGGTTGATCCCTTGGCTCTATTGCGCGAGAAGGCATAGGGGTGGGTGTGTCAACTTCAGAGGAACTTTTTTTGTATGGGAATTAGAGAAAATTCGACTGTTGGGCTAGGCGCTAGCTCCTACATCACAATTCAGAGCCCGATATCACATTTCAGAGGTCGACATTTGTCGGGAAGATAATGTTCCAGACCTTACGTCTCTCCGGAAAGGCGTTGTGACTAAACAATGACTAAGTCGCAACTCAGGAGCGACCCCTATTGGACCGCCCAGTTCAAAATGGTTCACTGCGTGGTATGTCTTGGCGTCTAAGCGGGGTTAACAGCCGCCCTTCTGGGATTTTTGCGAAAAGCTTCCAAGACCTACGACAGAAGAACAGATACTATGGAGGCCGCGGCAGCCATTATCGGACTGGTTGCGATCGGTGCCAATGTGTGCAAGACTTTAGGAATCTTCATCTCCGTTTGTAAGGATGCACCATCTATTGCTCAGATTACCCACAACGAAATGCGCGACTTTGATTTCGCCCTTCAAAAAGTTCAGAGAATCTTGTTAAAGAAAGGCACAGAGGGAATAAGCGAGCTCGGAAAGTCTATCACGGATGTCAGCCACCTGACCTTTACACTATTGACATGCGTGTCTACGCTCTCGGAGATGGAGAGAATGCTGGACCGTCTCTTACCACGACAGGAGAAGATGCTGGCTGGCCCATCTTCTCTCCCACAGCTGAGCTACGTTAGACGGATACGGTGGACCATGGCTAGCGGGGATCTCTCTCAACTCATCAGACGCATTCAACAGAATAAGATTAGTCTAATTCTACTCATGACAATGTGGCTGACGTAAGGTTCACCCTTGCTATGATAGGAAGATCGTTTGAGTAGACTAGAGATTGATAGAGATTAAAGTGACTCGTCAGCCGAAGCAGAGCATTCAGTTGATTGCCTAAACGATCTTTTGACAGACCTGAGCTCTGCGGGAGACAAAGCAAAACCATCGATAGCTTTCAACCCTTCCTTTCATGAATCGTCATTCAACGGCGAGCAGCCGTCATTCCCAAACGTTCACTTGACGAGGACCTCTAAAAGGTCAAATGCAAGCTCGGTTATGACGCAGAGGAGCTCATGGAGCACTGGCTCCAAAAGGTCCCTCGCACTTCTATCGCAGCTGCTGCACAACACAAGGCCGTATAGACGTAGTTCTGGACTGAGTTCTGAACTGGATAACACGAACCTATCTACTCGCACATCTCAGCGCTTAGGAATGCCCTTTACTCGGTTTACCGTTGGCTCGAATGATTCTATCATCTCATTATCGTATACGAAGTTTGAGCAATCTGGAAGAAAACTCGCGCAGGAAAATGATGCGGCTCGAATACCTGTGGAAATATCTCCCGAGTCCTTGTACAACCCCTGGTGGTATGCAGTTCCTTCCCTGGAATCCCAAATCAACATTCAAGAGTCTCCGACGAGTAAGATCGTACAATCGTTGTGTGCGGTTATAAAAGAAGCTACGTTCCGGGGCGACACAGCCGTCCTAGCTGCAGAACTTTCACGAGCACACATGGATACCTCGTATTCTCTCTTTCTTTTCTACCTAGGGACCGCTATATCGAATAGTGATACCACGGTAGTTAGCTGGTTATTGTCATGGATGATGGAGAGAGATAAGGGTACCGGCTACGCAATGGCTAGCGCGACTCTGGACCGAGCCCTATCCACCAAGAAGGATCAGGTAGCGATCTATCTGTTCAAGTGGATTATGAAGGAAGATCGGGTCTCGCTCATGGGACTATTTGAAGTTACTTTACCTAAAGTAATAGGGCACGGTGATACCACTTTGATCATCAAATTATTCGATGCGATCAAAATTACGTTAGGGTTAGAGGACATGGTCACGACTGAGATGATTCGGCTTGCTCTAGTGACTACGGTGGATAAAAAAGAATTGGATATGGTTATTCAACTCTTGAATTGGATCAAGCGCGAGCTCCATGATCTCAAGCAAATATCTTTATACGCTCTCGCCTTTAGACGAGGTTTGAGGATGAAACACGTTTCAGTGGCCCTTACTCTACTCAACTGGGGATTTGAGTATAAGTGGGTCCCGTTCTTTGAATTGCAAGAAGAAGGCTTAAACACCGCCGGGAGCGGTGGGGATGTTGATATGGTAGTATCACTCTTGGAATGGGGTATCTGGGCTGGTCGGACTAAGGCAGAGACCCAGATCCTGGCACGTATTTGTTTTGAAAGTGTCGTGTTGAATGGTCATATTGCGACGGCTGTTGGTGTGATGGACTGGATACTGAGGGATGATTCCGAAGAGGCGCTGGATATGGCAGTCAAACTACTGGACAGCGTGAGAGTGAAATCGATGGCGTTAGATCTATACCCCAAAGTATTCAAGGCTAGCCTGTCAAGGAATGATCTCACTACAGCCACAAGGATTTTGGATTGGATGATGGAGGATCCTAGATTGTGGCGGCACTACTTGTGTAATGAACACTCGCGAGGTGTAGCACTAAACGCGAGTCGTCCTGTGATGGCCGAGGTGTTGGACCTCATGGCAGAAAAAGACATGGTCGAGGCCGTCCGGTTATACACAAAGCTACTTGACTCTAGTTTATGGCAGAACAACCGTAGTACACCGATAAGGCTACTGTACTGGATGATGAGAAGCGATCCGATACGAGACTTTGCACTGTCCAACGATGGCCTGATTTCTCAGTTAAACAGCCAACAGGACACGATGATCGAGATGCTGGACTGGATGCAGACGAGTCTGAGTGGCATGCCGCCTTCACTACTTCCAAAGCTTTCGCACATAGCTGTATCGAACAGTTATCTCACGATGGCTGTGAGATTGCTTGATTGGATTCAGAAGAGAAATGGGGTTACTGGCGCCCACGATCTACACATTTCCTCTTTGACGACAGCCGTTGAGAATGGAGACGTTGCCGTGGCCGTTGGGCTACTAAAATGGAACCAAGGATCGAAGTCGAGAAAGCAGAAGGTTACACTATGCCAACCCTTCCTCGAGATCGCATTACATAAATGCTCTCGTCCGATGGTAGTCGCGATACTGGACTGGATGGGTGCGAGTGATATGGTTAGAGCAGTAGTATTACAGAAACGCGCAATCCAAACCGCAGTATCACTGAAAGCTTCGGGGGTAGTCACCGGACTTTTAGAATGGATAGAGCAAAACGATCCGGAGGAGTCGAACCGGCAATATGGAACCGTTCTCGAGGCTGCTCTACAGGCAGATGCTGTTGAGATGGCAATAGAGCTACTTGGATGGGTTTTTCAAAAGGACAAGGACAAGGCATTATCATTGTATTCACGCTCCGTACAATCTACGCTATCGAACCCCCAATCGGCTATGCATCTCGCCCTGCAAAGTTGGGATGCGATAAAACCATAGACGATATCAGTAAGTAGTATCCTATTTTAATGGTGAGAGGTATATAGTACGAATTTGGGCCTGTTGGTATCAAAGTGATTTATGGTTATGTTTTCATATGACGAGCATGGTGTAGGAATTTGTGGGTTGAACACTAGGATTGGTAGGTTTTTTGAGTTCGTATTTCTCGCTCCTAATGTGTTGTGTTCACTACTTTTCTTGAAATAGTACGCTCGACACATGTTATTATATTCATCATCATGTCAACCATGAGTAATTTTCCTATTCAGCATAGTATTTTTCATACATCTTTCTTTATATTGTTGCATCATGCTCAATTACTACACTTCTCTACTTACATTTTCTCCATTTTCTGTAACTTCGATCGAACATCTTTCACATAACACGTGCGGTGCATGGATGATATTTCCGAGTGGGTCAGACAACCTCCGGTAGCCTGTGGTTCTGCGTGGGTGGTGGTACCCAGGCAGAGTTTCTGATGCAATAGCAGATAAATTACCAATGCGTCACCCAAAGGAACACAATTCGAGTACATTACCGATCGCGAAGCTAATACCGCAGTAATTCGTCTCAGCGGACACTCATATTGACGTTGTAATTACTTGTTCTGGTCATTTGTCTTGCAAACGTCCCCTTAATATTTCCTCATACGGGCTGTAAAAGGCAACTTCCACGTCTGTGTAACCGTCCGCTGAAACGAATTACTATGGTACCATCAACACATTACCGAACCCAATACTATTAGTATATTACCGGTGCATTGCGCCGAGGAGATCTGGGATACATTTACAGATCCATTTCTTCCCGTGGTAGCGACCAAAACAGGACCTGGTATGCCCTAGAACATCAAACCTAGAGCTCAAAGCAGTGGAATGAATGCTAGATGTCCGCTGGAACAAGAAAACCTAATATGTGCAAGGGTTTTGGCAGCCAAATCAATGCTTGGCATCGCCAAAACCAGCAAACCCCGGCAATGATAAGGGTTTGTGTGTTGATTCAACAAAGATTCGTACTTTGCATTGCACCGGTCAAATCACTGAACCCGAGCAATAACTAAGGTTTGCGGTGGCGGAGAGAGTAGTCCCCAACGAAAACTCAGGGTTAGGTTTGGCGGAAAAGGAGGTTGGAATTGGATAGAAGGACCGCGATCATGCAGGAGCGAAGCAAGGGGACGCGATAAAGAGATGGAAACCATGAACATAGCTGATATTGATCAAACAAGAGCTAGTAATTCCTTTTTGCCGGTTGCGTGGGGGCCGTAGAAGGACGGTTTCGCGATATGTCGGAACACTCCCGAAAGCGGGTACCCTGCTTAGGAAGACGTATACGACAACCGAGAATCGATATTCCCGCCCACCTTAATCGCACGAACTATATGCACTACAACCTGGCGAGCAAAAGTAAGGTCCTTCAACATATCGAGTGATCGTCTATGTCCGAGTAATACCTTATGACATACGCTCCCGCACTCAGACACGCCACTTCGTCCGTGCCCGTGAATCACAGCATATTAGCCTGAAAGCTGCATAGTAAGCAAGCGGAACATGACGACGGTTATTGAAAGCTCTACCTCTCGGTTGATGAGTTTTGCGTGGTAAATGCGGTCATTTTGCACCGCCGAGTGGTACTTCCGGGGTTTGTCTGGTGGGTACCGGCCAGGAGTGCTCAATGCAGATGAAAAGATGGGCACCACGCCGTGACGAATGCAGCTTGTGGGCTGGCACCTGCGCCAATACACGCTTCTGGCGCGGCGGGGGTAGTGGTGTTGCTCGGTGCCAAGCGCTCTATCGGCAACTGAGAGACACCGACCCCCTGAGCTGACGTCACGGTATGGGAATGGCTGTCCTTACTCCGGTGACATCCGCACTCCCGCTCACATTCCCCCTCACCTACTCTCGGCCATATGCAAAGGTTGTTTGTTTACGGAGTACTCGAGTGTGGTGTATGGCGGGTGCTATATCGGGATATTCGGTCATGGCGGTGCTTTGGGCTGTATGCGAAGCTGGTAACTTGGGAAGGTTGTCGGATGGTGGATCGTCATATCGGAATGTTCAGACATGGCGGAAGAACCTCGCTGTTTCGGGGGTTCCTGGATCGCCTAGCTGCCTTTGTGGGCTTCCAGTATCGCCCGAAAAAAAACATCTCCGAGCGATGTGGCGCTTGATATCATTATACAGGTTGTGTCAATTGCCACCGACTGGGAGTACTTTAACGAAACTTGGACAGTGGCATGACGTTGATTGATGCTCATCGGTGAGGTTCAGAAGTGAACTGACTGTACTTGCTTGGATCACGTAGGGTAGATTAGGCATGGTGCCACGCCTAAACGAGTATCATAGAGCTCTGGTGACCGCCGTAAAAGGCACAAACGATACAATATTTCACAGCGCCATATGAGGAGTCCAAATATAGACTACATAGCCATTGGGGAGCTTCTGTAACGTAGAATTCATCCCTGCCATCGCTAAATCTTCCGGTGTGGGGAGCCCGCCAGATGAAAAAAGCTTGTCGAGCTGGCAATCGTGCCATAGGCACCAGAGCAAGGAGACGATTTAGATTACCAATTCCGACAAACGGCACAAAACATGTTCTCAGTGCTCCTAATCGAGATTGGGACAACACCACATTCTACATCCTTCGGATATCAGTGCCAGTGGCCATCAGGGTGCCTACCAACGCACCCCTCGAGCCGCGAATTCGCCTTATCGATTATAACTCACGGATTGTCACTCGCTGGAGCGCCGAATCGCAGATCATCACTCGACCCCCGCGCATACCACGTCGACAGGGCGCAGACAACCGACTCCCAGCCGCCGTATGTCTAGACAGTCACAAGCTACCACCTCATACATTCAACACACATTATCAACCCGGCGAGATGAGTACGCACACATGAATAATCACCCGGTTCGGGCGTCATAGATTATCCCTCGCAAGGCACATCTGTAGCCACGAATGATCACTCGGCCGTTGGACCATACGCTCTCACTTAGAATGGATTCACAAAGAATCACTCTGTACGCTGTAGGGCACGTGCAGTCATCCGGAGATGAACTCGTACGGTATCATTCACTGTGGGTGACGGGTTGGTAAACTATCAAGTCTGGATTTCCCAGCCGTGGCCTATCACTCGGATGGGGAGGTTGGGCTAGTGGAAGGCACTTGTCCCTTCATTCGCCTCCGGCGATGAAATAGTTTTTGGAAGTGTTTCGGGAATGTTGTAGCTCACATCTTTCGCGGTTCGTCCCTTTCTAGACCGATCTAGGCCACTGGAGTCGATCCCGGGGGTGTCTAGTCGGTTCCATATCAGTGTTTGCGTGCTTCTGTCAAGTCCTAGAAGATTCTGGTCCGTAATTTGGGTGATTATCGTGGGGTCTAGAATCATCTAACACGTTGTTTGCTTGTTTGTGAAGGTCTCGAAGGGTGTTGAGCAATGTTTGTCTGTTACCATATCGTTCTAGATTCTCTGGACCAATGTTTGCGTTTACATTGGAGGCCTAGAAGGGACTAGTCGGGTGTTTACCTATTCCTATTGTAATCTGAAAACTTCTAAAGCATTGTTTGCCGGTTTTTTTGGTGGTCTGCAAGGGTCTAACTTGATATCTGCTTGTTTTCTCTACTATGGTGGGAAATGTATCGTGGTAATGCATCAGTAAATGTATCCCCCTTTCGTGCACCATGACCAGAATAATGCATCCATTTAATGGATCGGCAAATGAATCCCCAGTCCCACTTTACGATTTTATTGCTGACTTTATCATTTATGTTTTCAGTCAATTCGCCAGTTTATTGGTCAGTTAAATCGTCAGTATATGGATCAGTAAATGTGTTCTGAGTTTTGATGGTATAAAAATAACATAACATGTCAGAATCGAACTTGTACTACTGTACTTAATTGGCCCACGTTTATATGACGACTTTAATTATGTGATCCTAACGAGAATACATTAGCTGACGACTTTACTGATGATATCCCAACGAGAACACGTCAACTGATGTACTTACCTTATAGAACACATTTTCTAACACATTTACGAGTATTGCGGGTTGTCAAAAATACTGGGACGCAACGGGGCAACGAATATAGCAACAACAACCCAACCCCGCCACCAAGGAACGACAATACTAACGAAAATTCATTTTGGGTCTCCAGTAGTTCCTATTATCACTTATACTGTTTGTGGTCTCTTTGTGGTCGGTCGTGGTTGAGAGATTATTATGTTGAAATGAAGCCTGTTGCGTCCCATCATTTTTGACAACCCACAATACATTTCTGCATCTATGTATACAATGAATACATTAAACGAGAGCTATATCTATTACTTTACCTATCAATTATGACAGTCGGACAGATTTTAACCACTACCGACTTTCCGTGCAATTTTCCAGATGACTTCTCCCACGAAATTCTGGACAAAACTCGACAGTAAATGTGTTCATGGTAGATCATCCTCAGTAAAGTAATCGATAATGCATCGATAATCAACCATACAATTTTACACAACTCACGACAGGTTATGCATCAATTGATGCATTTACTCGCCCCCTTCATGTTAATATTGGTAATGCATCCATTGATGCATAAACCGGCGTATCAGAGTCTACGGAGGTCCAGAATCGTCTAAAGCGATGTTTGCCTTCTATGGGGGTCCAGAACATTCTAGACGACCTTCCGTTTGCTCGGACGCCTCCTAGACGATTCTAGATGAAGCTATGCGTGTTTGCATTGTGTGATCCGCGCACTAAATCAACATACCTTTGGTACTCAAACCCTGACCCTAACTACAGGAGGGGCGGGGTTGCGCACACCAACCCTAACCCAGGTGGTGTAGTAATGCGGATGTGCACCTCCAGAGTACGTACTATATAATAAGGGCATCCTCCCCTCCCTATCCTCCTTACAAAGCTCAGCTCCCGCCAAAAACCGAAACCCGGTAAAGAAAAAATAAGGTAAGTTGTCCTCAGTCTTACTCTCCATTGTTATGCTCGATCGGCGCCCAAAGGGGCAGGCTTTCCTATCTGCTAATCTTCGAACTGGAGAGGTTGTCTGGTGACGGGACCCTTCAGAACGATGAACTCATGGGCATCGGTTCTTGGAACCCACTAATCTTCGAGTTGGAGAGATTGTCTGGTGACGGGATCCTCTAACTCCATGAGCACCTGGAACTACCTTTAGGAACTACTTGCTAATCTTCGAACTGGGGAGGTTTTCAGGCCAGAAAACTCCTCAGTCCGATGAGCCCGAGGAACTATCTACTAATCTTCGGGCTGGGGAGGTGCCGGCGACGGCACCCTCCGGCCCGTTTAGCGCGTTAGGTCACATTTACTGGCACTCTACTAATCTTCGGGCTGGGGAGGTGCTGGAAACGGCACCCTCCAGCCCGTTTAGCGTTAGGACCCTTTGTGTATGATAAGAATGAATTGAGTTGTAGGTTTGAAGCAGGTATTAAGACAAAGATTACTATCTCACGCTTCCACTCTCTCTACCACGGCGGTAAATGCATCAAATGATGCATTTCACGCGTAAGCCGGGCACGTAAATGCATCAATTGATGCATAACCTGTTGTGAGTTGTGTAAAATCGTATGATCGATGAATTATCGATGCATTATCGATTCCTTTACTGATGATAATCTACCATTAACACATTTACTGACGAGTTTTGTCCAGAAATTCGTGCGAGAAGTGGTATGGAAAATTGCGTGGAAAATTGTTAGCGGTTAAAATCTGTCCTACTGTAGTAATTAATAGGTAAGTATTAGGTATAATCATCGTTTAATATGTTCATCGGATGAATAAATGGATGAATGTGTTAGTAAATGTGTTTTATAAAGTAAACACATCAGTTAATATGTTCTCGTTGGGATATCATTAGTAAAGTCGTCATATAGGCGCGTGTTGAAATATGCTGCCCGTCAAGGTATTTGACATCTCTCCCAATGTCGGACTTGGTAGATTTTTATGCATTTCTTAGGTGTACGCGCCTCTAGTCTGTAGTTGATATAGCACCGATTTATTGCCTCAATATATCAAACGATAGCTATAGCCTAGTTGGTACGACTTGAGATACTTAAGCAAAATAGTGCAAGTTCAATCCCGACATTGTATTTTATTTTTACCGATCCACATACTGACGAATTGACTGACGAATTGACTGACGAATTGACTGACGAATTGACTGAAGAATTGACTAACGAATTGACTAACGAATTGACTGACCAATTGACTGACCAATTGACTGACCAATTGACTGACGAATTGACTGAAATTTAAATGATAAACTCAGCAGTAAAATGGTAAAGTGGGACTGCGGATGCATTTGCCGATGCATTATACTATGGATTCATTATTTTGGTCATGGTGCATGAAAGGGGCCCGGGGATACATTTACTGATGCATTACCACGATACATTTCCCACCATAGTAGAGTCTTATGTCTTCATTGGCCCACATAGCTATTCCCTCCATGGAAGCTCATGTTGCAAGTCGTTGCTAACTAGAGGATATGTTATGATCGGCTAGGAAGAGGTGAGTCCCAAGGTAAGTAGGTACCTCTTTCTCTTAACCTTTCCCGATTGAGAACAATTTGAAAGCATTACAATTTAATATCCATTTCTTACCTTCTAGTACATATGGGCAAAATATTCATTTGCACTGTAACTTGACATGCATCTTCCTGTATAGCGTTAGAGTCTATCTTCTCTGTAGTTTTGTGGCTTTGTCTGCAGTGTTCCAGAGGGTCAAACTTTCGTTCGAGCATTCTCACCGCGGCACGTTCTGGCCTTGTTGGTTCCGCCACTAAATCTTAGTATACATAATGTTTCTTTTTATTCCTAATATTCGCCATCGCAAGGGGAACTACTTTTTACGTTCTGGTTTCTTCTGAAATTTGAGATCAATTATCAATATGTATGTGCACGGTTATTATTCCCTGATACTTACTTACCTAATTCCTGAGGCGCTAGTCGAAATGCACCCTCCATATTAGGCGTTATGTCAAATATTTCGATTATCAGTATGTGGTGTAAAAATCCTTTATATGTAATTGATTTTGTTATCAAATACAGAATAATTCAATAAATATAATACTAAAGAAACATTCTTGAACATGTGACCCCTACGGTACAATTTCCCCGGTACAGAGGGGTCATTTCATCCTCGTGGTAGGGATGATAATCGGTGCAGTAAGGTAAGGTCGTACTATCTTGCACTTTTTCGGTAATTTACTGGAGATATGAGATGTAGGGGGTGGTCTTTTGCTGTTGAGTGGTAATTTAACAGAAATATAAGAGCACAGGGGCAAATAACGTTCAGCCTGCTGTTTTGGGACTTAGCGAATCTTTTCAAGGTATCCCGGCTAGCCTCTGGGCGGTCACCGAGAGGGAAGGGTGAACTACCCTTTCCCTATCATTACTCTATATAATATAGTGATTGAACACATACCTAATATCTTCCCCCATGCCCTAGATGGTACAGCTTCTATTGTACATACAGAATGATGCAGGTTCAACCGCCGATTATTCCAGCCATATATTTCTTTTAATACAGTAGTAATATTCATGTCATGATTTTAGGATGATATACCATCTCGATCAGCTAGTCCATCCAAAAGATCTTCTATTGTTTGCTAATTTCTTCCCCAAATTCGGGTGACATAGGTCAGCGGGTATTAATGGTAGTTTACCATTTCGAAATTGTACCCTAGGGCACAGTTCCATTGTGATAGACAGGCTTCAGGAGCGTCTTGTAACGGTACCGAGTTCTGCGGTCGCCTGCATGTATTTCAGCTACTAATACTGGAATTAACAGGAACCACTGATGGTTGTGCGTTGTCGTATCAGGCAGCTCTGGACTAGAGGCCGGTAGCCGAAATACAGCATCCCAGTACCACAACTATAGCTCTACAACCTCTGTCTGAAGAAAGCGCGTTATCCAACCTTCTCAGAGCTTAAGTATCGTCTTGAAGGTATGGTAGCTGAGCTCAGCACTGCTTTCTTTGTATTGATGCACTAGATGAATGCGATGAGAAGAGCCAGCGGAAGGATCTGTTGCAGTTATTTGAGAGCCTTAGATCTAAATCCGCACGCATCTTTATTACTGGGCGGCGGTTCCACCGTGATATCGATGTCTGGGTGGCTTCTTTCGGGATTGCATCGATAAAGCTGTACGCACATGATTAGGATGTTGCTGCATATGTTGAGAGTACAATAGTGGGTCATTCATCAGCAAAGAGGATGATATGTGGAGAACTGAGAAAAGAGGTTATTTGCACGTTGCTTAAAGGTTGTCAAGAAATGTGAGCTTATCCTAGAGAGCCCTCAGGGGCGGTCAGCGGTCTAACAATCATTCTAGGTTCCTGCTAGCCCATTTCCATGTTGAGCATTTATGCCAGTGTACCACAGAGTGAAGTTCGGAAAGCCTTGGGAGGGCTAAATGCGACTGTGAATACCGGGTCATAGAATGCTTTGAATTAAACCTATGATTGTGTGTTACAAAGGATTATTGAACAACACCGATCACGACGGAACCTGGCATTCAAGGCTCTCTCTCCTAGCTTGTCAAGTCAAGAAACCCTGTGAATCTTCATGGACCCTGCTTGGTAGTCAGCGATCACGTAGGGTCGTATGACCAGACAGGGGATAATGTGCCCGAAATTGAAGTCATAGTGGGGGTATGTGCGGGACTGGTGAAGATTGAAGAAGGAAGAGCCGAGATCGTGCAGCTGGCCCACTATTCAATCCAAGTGTATCTTGAAAAACTGCCAGTGGGTAAAGATTGGATCCACATGAGCTTCCAGGTATTAAAAGACTGCATTGACTACCTCGTGTGGAGAATCAAATATATACACCAGGATTATTGGTCATTTACCCTGCCTGGCTGGATGTTGACTCCAGAAACGTTGCAACAGTATATCTCCAATAACCTAGATTTCCATGTCCAAAGTTGCGACGAGGATGTCATCACTACGCTGCTTCTTTCCCCCCCCGGTGATCCTAGGTCATCAGTTATTCATCGTTGGGGCTCGGGCAGGTTTACCAACTTGAAGACCTCTCTAGACAAGGCGTCATACCTAGGGCACGTACCTAGCATTAGGCATTTTATCACACCTAATCTCAAACACTCAACGGAGGTATTGCCGCATCCCACTGTACTTTATATCGCGGCCTGCCGGGGACATGTGAGTGCAATGCGAGCGATACTAGGCGCGGCATATAGCGTAGACGAACATCTAGAGTTGAGCGATGAGGATGGGGATCATGTAGTTACCGCGTTATACGGCGCTACGAGAGCGGAAGAGGCCGACACCGTTAGATTCCTTTTAGAGCAAGGCGCAGATATGTATGCAACTTTCACACTAGATCGAAGTAGGTCCGACTTGTTTTGGGGTCCGCGTCCGTCAGGTTTCTCTGTCAGGAAAACCTCGGTCTTCAGGGCTTCTACGTCCTCCCTACTCCGTGCCCTGCGTTTCCCGTATGCGCTTGTGCCTCAGGTATACTTGGAACGAAATCGACTTATCAGGGCCTCATGGACCCTGTCCTCTGAGCCGTCTATGAAACCACAAAGATTATTATGTCTGGCCCTAAGAAATGGCGTCTGCGATGCTGCGGAATTTCTCATGCAAAGAGGATGTGATTATGAGCAAGGGGATGATCTGGGACGAACAGCGATATTCCATGCCATCAGTCAAGATGCAATGCGAAAGACGGTCCCGTACCTAGCTAGGATTGGAGCCAGGTTCGATATCACAGATAACGATGGAAGGACACTTCTACACTACCTGTGTCAGCCGAGTTTCATATCAAGCTTTCGCTGGGGCACTGTGGATAGTTATGTGCACTGTATAAAATTACTACTTGCACATGGGATTAAAGTTAACACACAGGATGGGTCAGGAATGACCCATTTGCACGTTGCAACAGAGTCAAACCTTCCAGGCATAGCTGGAACACTTATAAGGTGCGGCGCTTATATCTCTGCTCGGTGTCACAGACGTCTCACCCCTCTGGATTACATACCACTTCCGCGCAGGGTAGAAGCCGCGTATCTCACCTAGCATATATTAGCTACGCACGGGGCGAAGGTTACTTCAGATTTCTGGGTGCGCCCAACCTCGCCTACATACCTTCCTGCCGGAAATGTCCAAAAGGCTCTGGATGACCAGAGGCCATTAAAGAGCCACCAGTAACTGACGGAATATCCAGCTAGTATGATCGCCAAGTCTTGAACAGCCACACCGAAGACGTTTCACCAGTGACTTTCCATATCAGGTGAGAAATCTATATTCCTCTCTCACACCTAGGGAAGCACGCTCAATGCGATTGGTGGGATTGCAGAAACCGAAAAAGAACCTAATTGGAATTTGAAATAGTCTCGGTATATCGGTCCCTGTTTTGACAATAGAGACCCAAGACCCGCACACGAACCCGGTAAGAACGATGGATAAACGTAGGAAGGAGATATCGGGGTTATTTTAGAGGCAACTATTATAACGTATCATTGGTGTTTCATTGACAGACATCAACCAGTGCTTCATCCATACGCGTGAGTGAACTGCATGCTCCGCTGACTTGACAAATGACATTGTGTGCCGAGCTTATTCTGTTCCGTTCTGGACCTGTTCCACAAGGAAGGAAACTGGGGTAAGTACGATTCAGAGCAATTCCAGGTGGATCCCTGCACGTAAGGTACTAGTCCCAGCTGAATTCCAAGCAATTCTGGTAATAGGAGCTCCCGTAGTGATGGAATTCCAAAGCATTGGTCAGATCGTGCGCGTATTTTGAGTACCTATTGTGGGCACAAATACTCTAGTCGACGAGTCGAGCTGTCCAGTCCTGGACTTGTGCTTTTCTCTCCAGCCCTACAAGCCCAGATGGGCCATGAATCCAGTTTTCTCGAGCTGTATCAATGAAACAACGGGCGGTAGCTTCTGTGTATGTTGCTCTTATGAGATACTCGCGCTTAGGGGAATCTGCTCTCGTCTTGGAATAATAGCGACCATGTTCTGAAGCTGCCAACACACAAGGGCCAGTCTTGCCAATGTCTCAATCCTTTGTAAATACTGCTCTAGTCGAATCAGTGAGTTCGTCCGCTCGGTGCTATCGATGAATGGTGTCGTTCGATCCTTGATATCACTGAACTGCCCTTGCCAGTTAGTTAGGTTGTGAATTCTTCACTGGCTAGTCCGTTCAAGGACTTTGCTAGTGTTAGCCGACCCACTTTGACAATTTTCTTCTGGGTGGCAAAGGGACCAGAGTGGTAAACATATCACAGCCAGCGAATCAGCCAAAGTCAGCGAGCTCCAATCAGAGCACACACTACCATCAGCAGCCACGAAATCAGCCATTCAAAAATGTCCGCCCTATCCATTCCAGCTACTCCTTTCTCTGAAGACTCTCGACTTACGTGGCGTGGGTACCTTCGCTTTTGCCTCTCTCTGGAAAGTATAATTTTAATCCGTGATGTTTTCACTTGTGCGAAGAAGGCAAGCAATTCAGATGAATATAAGGTCAAGTACGTGGCAATGAAAAAATGCCACCTAGATCAGGGAAATATCAAGATTCAATGTTGCCTAGGGGCATTGATGACATAGAATATCACTCAAGGTTTCCCGATCTCGCTGATTGGCCTAGCCAATGGAGAAGTCACAATATCAGCTGCTGGCCTCCTCGAACCGGGGATCTGACCCAAGGCCTGGTGATTCCGTTGAGATTACAAATATATCACTCTGCGGACGTCACCACTGGGTGATATCATCGAGCGGACGAACTCACTAGTTCGACTAGAGCAATACCGGACTTTTCCAGCTAAACGACCGAACTATCTTTACAGTGAGAGCATTGGCGATGGTTAGGTTTATTAATTTAAGAAGATCTTCGACATGGAGAAATAAAGGCAACTCCCGAAAGTCTCGAAAGTCGAGATCTTGCATATTCAACTTTCCGAAGGCGAGCGTATATTATAACTCATGACTCCTTCTTTGGAGCTGCTAGAATTATACTATAGACGCGTTGATCAGACAGTCCACGGTTCAGCCCCATGTAGATATGCGCGCCATACACTTCCGCTTCCTAGGTTTTCTTTCGAGTCATCTTTCGTCACTCGCATCTTGGCTCACAGGGTATCACTCGGCCCTCTAACCTGTTATGGTGCGGCTGGTCTTAAAGGTGTACCGCCGTGACAACGGGTTGGAACGCCAAGACTTTCAAGCAGTGGTCAACGACCATCAATACATGAAATACAAAATATTTTTTAACTTTATGAATAATACTCCTAAATCCGCCAGGTTTTAAACGTGGGTACTTGTGGCTTGTCCGCTGTAATTGAGATGTTCGAGCAAGAGATTCCTTGATTTTAATTTTTGGTCATTTTGGTACCATTACAGGAAGTTTTTTAAACTGTACTAGCATTATGAATATAGATCGAAATGATTCCGGGTTTTCAGTATACGTTCCTATATGGTTTAGTATGTAATTGGGGGCATCGTTCATGAAATTGCTTGACGTTAATTTTTTGACATTTTTTGCACCCATGTGACTACAAAAAATTATACCTTACTACTGACCCTCCTGTGACTCTTATAAGCCTTAATTTTGAACTCTTCAGTACCATATATGACTCCCGCCCTATATCTTTCAATAATTCTCAACGATTTGCTCCACCATTTGGGTATCAAGTCTGATGCCTATATGAGTGTTAGGGATACATGTTCTCTAAGGGACTTTATATTATAAACACAATTATCTCGTGTATAAAGCTTTACCCTAGCCCAGAAGTACTCAATCCAATTGAGCTCGCAATAGAACCTAGGGTAGAATAAAACTCTGTTTCCTCTTCCCTCCACCACCTCTTGGACTCTGCCTTTCTGTTATAGGAAATCGAGTTGTTGAGATATGAGTTTGCGGGAACAGCAATTGGCTCCTGCTTCAGAGTGTTTTCTTTGATTTTTGGTGACATTGTTCCATTGGGTACAGTCCAAATATAGACCCTCTTTGGGCCATAAGCCTCTTTCTTTATACTGACCTCTAAACCTTTAGGTTCTCCCCATAAGGATTTGGGGATTTTTCTCTCCCTCTGTCCATAACAGATTTTCTGCACCATTCAGACTCTGTTTTTATCAATATACCACTCGTCTCTCATATGTGGTTGTGCTCCCCCAAGTTCTTTATTCATTTTTGTCCCTCTCAATGCATTTGAAGCAAATGCACTATGACTAGTAGCATTATCGAAGAGGAATAATGAACAGCAACCAGGGTGCGCTGCTTCGAAAATAGTTATAGCTGTTAATGTCTGCTGCACTATTTTTTCCTAATCCCACCATATATCTCCTCCACACTGAATAATTTCGGTTGACTTTCTCTTGTCCAACCCATATTTGATAAAATCCTCATCTGATATAATTTTCTCATCTACCATCAATCTCCCCCATGGAGTACCAAATTTGGAAATATGCATACCCTGTCCACTAAATTTGCTTCTCAATGGTATATGGTCGCCTCTTACCCATTGATAATGAGGGCCGTCGTTGGCATTGCATATGCACTGATCATGAGTGACTGGAATAATGAGCTTTTGACCCTCAGGGACAATTGGTATATGCACCTCCAAATAACCATTTTCATGTCTAACAGAATAGGGCATTACCGACACCAGCTCCTCATATGTTTCAAGGAATAACTCCTGACTATAATTCACCACATCCGGTCTCTCATGTCCATCCTTATATACAGCCTTTTTGACCTCCCTCCAGTGATACCACAGTCAATGAAGCCAGTCTTTTGCAGTGCTAAACGAGATACTGAGATTCTTCCGAATGAGAGTAGGGGTAGTATTGTGCTGTTCAATCTCCTTTAAGGAGCTGGATAGTAGAGCCAATTCCGAATCTTTTTTGATATCAATTTGTGTAGATTTCCAATACTCGGAAACTGCTTTGACAAGCATGTCAGCCTTAACTCTATTGCCAATAATTAGTATGCGTAAATGAATATAATTTTAGTATTTTTACCTTGTCCTGCAGTAGCTAAAAACTCCTGAACTGCAATCATGGTCCACTCATTTTGTAACATTCATAACATTTTCGAGTTTTTTCCCTGACCACTAATTGGCATTTTCCGGTGCCTCACCCAACCTCTCTCCAGTCTCAATATTCTCTCCTGTACCTACCGATCGTTTTGACAGTATATTGCTACATTCATAGCAAACTCCTTCCTTGTATATTTTTCTTTTAAATCTTTATTAAGCTTATTTTTTTTGAGTGTAGTGAGCTGCCAGTTCATGAAAAACAAAACCTGTTGATGCCAGATATAGTTCTGCCTGTTGGGGAAATAATTAGAGTTAAGCACTCTAAGTATATCCCGAATATCTATAAGAAATTGATGTGATATATATCAGTATTTCAAAAGCCCGCACAAAAATCATTCATGTTTGAAATTTCTGAATTACCTTGATTTAATATCATAGACCTAACTGGTAACGATTAGACATTAGGCCAGTTGGATATCGCCTCCTCAAGCTCCATCTTGCCATATTTTTCAATATAAAAAGTCCTCAACACCATCCTCAATGTGTTCAAAATCTCCCTCTTCAAGCCTGAGTTCAAATTCCTCTGGATTCAATTTGAAATTAAAGTGTTGGTATTCCCCCCCTCTCTTACTACATCTACCCCTGGTATTTCTGCCGGGGTATTTGAACCTAATTCACTGCCAGCTACTGCTCTTGTACTCCTATTACCAGTAGAGTACATGGTTGAATTGCTTAAAGAATATAATAATGGAGAAAATGGTCTTGTACCTCCGTCAATGACAAGTATCTGGAAAGCGGTGGCAAATAGAGTCTTTTGTGGGTTGGCAGCATGTCCTTTTAGGAGCCAAAGGGTAGTCTTGGGTCTCCATAGGGTTTTGAGAGGAGTATCTGGAATGACTGTCTTTTTCCTGCCTCTACCTCCCTTCTTAGCTTTGTCCTGTCGGGATTTTTGTGTTTTAGAAATGCGGCCCATGTTTGAAGAATATATCTGTTGGCTTTAAAAAAATAGTATGAACTAGTAGGACATTGTGGGGTGGGGTTATGGCTAAAAAGTAATTCACCCGGGAAATGTGTACATCTGAGCATGGGTGTGTATATCTGAGCACGTTCTAAATCCCGATTTCAACACGGAAATATAGGTATTTATTCCACAATAACTATGAACACTATGGACGGATAAAAACTTGGGAACATTTATTATACTACAAATAGGCTCTCCAAGCTTTCTCAGCTTAATTCATTGCCTCAAAGTTCCGGAATAACCACCCCGGATCGTGGTACACCTTACCGGCGGACCGCACCATACTTTTTTTTTCTTTTTTCTTTTCATTAATTGTATGCAGACCGTAGTCTATGAAAATATCGTACTTCTAACCTGCTGCGTCGTGAAATGTCATTTTTTCTTGCTTATGGAACTTGGATGTGATGTCGATCTCTCATTTACAGTAAGGAGGACTGCCCTATGCGGCCGGAACACTTAGGGCGTAAACTGCCGAGAAATGGTATAGGTAGGTGGACTGGGATTTCAATTATGAAATCAAAGCAGCCCCCCAAAAGAGAGACTGGGAGGATTGAACTCTTCCTAACATTAATGGCTCGTAGTTCATCATTCCGTTGTACCTGGCCTTAGATCCGCAGGTCATGAAAGAGGTTGATGAGCCGGGATCGTGATCAATGAGAGAGATACTTCGGGAACAGATCCTTCTAAGAACTCGAAGTACCTAATCTCAATATAGAGAAGGTTTCTTGTAGTGATGTATATTCTGCTTCTCCACGTATCTAGAAAGTGAGCATCGAGGTAACGGAAATGTGAAGTTGATAGGAGGTACTGCATCCTCCTACGTCCTCTATTTTGGCGTGCATGTTAAGTGAGATTTATGCAGTAAAACCTAAATTCATCGACCCCTGAAAAATGCAATCCTATTGTCGGTCCACCTGATGTATTCGAGCATTGATGTGCTACAATTCTACCATTCACGAGTTCCCTTCTGCAGAAGATTACTATATATAAGCTCTGCCAAGGATAATAATTATCGTTAAGGGCGCTCTGCTGCAACTACCGCGGGTAATAGATAAATTCCCACGTTGGAAACCTTGTGTAAGTTAATCGCAATTGTTTGGGTACTACCGGGCACCATTTTCAAACCTGTACAGATTCGAGGGAGGGCTAAGGATGAATATACGCAGAGTAGCAGCCAAATTTTAGACTGGTGTGATGAAGATGTTTCTGCTCGATAATATTACATTCAAGCTTAGAAGGATGAATAAATTGAAAAGCAGAGGGGGTATACCGAAACAGGATGAATGAAAAGGGGGTGTGGTGAGGAGGAGCTACGTATTGGCCGTAGGAGATAATCTACCCCTCCTTTGAGATCATAACGAACCGGAGATTTCAATAGGAAGACAAACCATTGCCGCAAATAATCATATAGGGTCGGGAATAATCTTTTTGCGCACATAAGCTCGGTATCACACACCTCTGATTGTCGAAATCTGTGACTTATATCTAACAAATACCATTGTGTTGTCGTGATGGACTGTAGGCGGTGAGGCCCTTCCGCGCTTCATACGCGGTTCTTCTCCGAGTGATATAACTCTTCACCGCCTCCTATCCCGACGACATATATTTCCCGAAGCCAGTCTGCCACGGTAAAGCGGAGACGTCGTATCTAGCAGAGACTGGACCTAGATGTCTTATCGAGGCGAATACAATTATTATATCTCCGCTCATCGTGTATACTCGGCGGCGCGCCTCACCCACTCTCGCGTTCCGGCCTCACCGAGCGTAGACCTTTCTAATCAATCACCAGTGTCCGAGCCTAAACCGTTTTTCCATATGTAGTTAGAAGAAAAGCCCCTTAAATTATCGCTTTTAGTGCATCCGCCTCTCATCCCCCACAACAGCGAACAGCATATAAGATAAAGCCTAACCCTGAGTACCCTTATAAGGTCATTGATTACTTCACTAATTGTATGGAACCTGCAAATACCAGCGGAGCATCCATGACAGGGTTATAGTCGGCAGGGTAGTGCCGAGGTGCCCTGGTTGTTGCCGGTAGGTATAGGTTAGTCTCGTGTCCTGCGCTCTTGAACCGGTCGATTTGTATTTGCTGGTATCTGGTATATAATGGAGGCGCTGCTGGCCGTGAGTTTCGAACAATCTTCTACAAGCGGGACCACATTAACCCTAAGCAAACATATCAATTCAATGACCGCCGATCTTCAATTCCAATTGGGTTATGTCGCCGTAATATCCACAATGGTAAGGGGTAGGGCAATCCAGGGCGCTCTGTTCTCAACTTGTCGACCGTGGTCTGGCCCAAAACTAACTGAAGACAGCCGACTCCCGCCGGTTGCGCGCGCGTCTGCTATGGGCCACCGGGGCCGGCTCCTAGCTAAGAGCGGTCAGAATGAGTTCCTCTGAGACCACCGGCAACTCTGGGGAGTATGTGATATGCTGCGGAATGGATTGCTTTGATGGATGCTTGCAGTGAAATTAGATATTGTCCCTATTAATGGTCTATACTGGCAACCAGCTAGCCCCATTAAACACACAAGAGACAGATAAAACCACAACGAACTGCTGAAGGCAAGTGTATTAACCCTTTTGCCATTTCGATTCTCAGAATTGCTGATCCCCCGCTGTGATCATGTATCATGTTTAGTTACGGTGAGAGTTGCAGGCCTCCGGAAACGGCCAGGCCAGTGATTGAGGTTATGAGAGACAATATTGTGCCCAACCGTAACTAGGTGTAGTGGTGGATCCATGTCTCGTATTGGTGAAAGGTTTTTCTTTTTTAGAATCTGTCGGATGAAATAGTGAAACTGACCAACTTGCAGGTGATATTGCTATCTACAAAAAGGCTTTCCATTTTTGTTTTCTTTTCTGCTGTGGGCGCGGGTCACTGCATTCAATTCCGAGCAGTGATTACTCATCCGTGGCGTCCTCCGGGGCTGCACCAATCGCCATTGTAGTTTGCTATCAGCCTCAGCACCACAAACACTATCACCATCCTCCCGCAAACCGCCACCATGAGCCCTACTAATCTCGCCATCCCACTTGAAGTGATCACCATTATCTGCTCATATGCTGACATTCGCACCCTCTCCGCCCTCTCCCGCACCTCCCGCACCCTGCATACCCTCCTCAACCCCTCGCTTGAAAAGACCTTTACCGCTGAACTCCCATGGATCGCGGCCATTGCCGTGCTCAACCACCGGCCCATAACATTCGCACGAGTCAGGGCGGCCGCCCTCGACGCTCGTGACCGCTTCTTCCCGGGCACACGCGACCCCCGCACCCACAAGGACATCATCTACGGGTACGTCAAGATAGGCCTGGCCCGCCTCATATTACTGCCTGCTGACGAGGACAAGGCTAATGTCCTTACGATGGCGCTGGCGCGCGGTATAATACCTATTCTGCTCAGGCACGACTTCGGCGATCATCCCTGGTTCGGGGTTGATAGGATAGCTGGGATTGAATAGCTGCCCTACGGGATTCAGCACGGGAATGTGAAACTGGTACGGTGGCTAATGAAGGAGGTCCGGCCAAGGCTTGGGGGTGTTGTGACGATAGAGGGGGGTCAGACGTTGCTGGAGCTTGCTAGGTATTGTAGGTTCGAGAAGCCGGGGGACACGCATGCCCGGGATGCGATAATCCAGCTGGTGATGGATCACGAACTGATCGCTCCTGATGAAGTTTCCGGGAGTGAGGAGGGAGAATCTGAAGAGTTTGGAGGCGGCCGGGGTGGTATCGGCTGCTGAATGATCCTAACAGGTGAGGGAGTGGCTTCGCACGCCACAACATGAGCATCGCCTGAGGTCTGGGTACGGTGGAAATACTAGTATCTGTAGGGGTATCCAGTCTGTTTGGTGTGCTTGCAGTTTGTGAGAAAACCTGGAAACTTGGTTTATTTATGTTATCACGGGAGAGGTTATGTGGTTTATACCCAATTTAGTCTATTATTATTTGTCAGATGATCGGGATTGGTGCTGAGAGTCATAAGGGGGAACGCTTAGCGGGGATAAAGCAAGTTTATAAACATGTTATCTTGGAACAGCCTCCCCAGCGTCAATCCCGGGCGCCTCGCATAAAAGTGAAGAATTTTGGACGTCGTGATCAGCTCGACCAATAGCGCAACTGCAATGAGCGGTGTATGTAGATGTGGATGTAGATGTAGGTATGGATGCGGATGTGTGGGGGGGGAGGGCAGGGAAGAAGGCGCGGAGCTTAGTCTTCCGTGCCTCTTCCTATGAACACTTGGCATCCTATCTGAAAGCGATTAGTATCTGTCACCCTGGTCACATCAAACGCATGCGCTGTCAAGAACCACCTCCCCCCCCCCCCCTCCACCCCCCACCTATGTGCCAGCTTCTTCACGCACTGCGTTAGGAACCTGTCACTACATTTGAAATGAATTGCGTTCCAAAACCTCTAGGGACAGAGACACGGTTAAAGGGTAGAACGGTAAACCGTCCTGTAGCGGCGAACTCTACCGTGGAAGGGCTGCGGATTCAGCGCATTCGATATCCAAGTTTCCTGTCATTCGAGCCCCGCTTTTTTGTGTATGTGGGGAACTGAGTCTCTTCCAGACATAGTTGACCACAGGCGAGTTTAAACTGAGCTGACTCTCATACCCTACGTTTCTTTACCTCTTTTTCTTTAAAATCCTCTACTCGACTGGCACCCTCGTAAGGGCAGGCTTTCCTAGACGTTCTCCATTACCTATCCATCTCTTATGTCATCTGCGCCACCGGCACCATTTGAAAAAGAGGCTTTCCCAGAACCCCTCTTTATCTCTCCTAAGTCTTCCCTTTTCCTATAATCTTTCTGCTCGTCCAGAGCTAACAAAAGGTATGCTTTTCTTTATTTCTTCCGCTCTTCTGACACCTGTAAAAAGGTAGGCTTTCATATATATTCTCCTAAAGCTTTTCGCTACTGCTCGACCGGCACCCAGCGGGGGTAGGCTTTCCTAGAATCCTCCTCTTTCCTAGAACATCCCTTTCTCCTTAGACCTTCCGCTGGACCAGCGCCTTTCACAAAGCAGGCGTTCCTAGCACCTTTCTCCTCGACCGGTACCTATTAGAAGGTAGGCTCTCCTAGAATCCCCTAACTCTCGTCTGTTCCTGCCCGACCGGTGCCGATGGAAAGGTAGGTTTTCATAGAACCTTCGTATTCCCTGTTACTATCTTATTTCATTTACCGGCGCCTATAAAAAACAGGCTCCCCTCGAACTCTCATCCCTTAGGGCTTAGCTTTCTATCTCTTCCCCCAGCGCCTATTAATCAAAGGCAAGTTCTCTTTATTCATTTAGGTAACATTCCTCTGCTCGACTAACACCCACAAATACGCAAGATTTCCTAAAACCAACCATCCTTCTTTTTTTCCTGCCTGACGGTGCATATGGAAAGGTAGACTTCTCTTGAACAATCATATGTCTCAAATATACCACTCCACAGGCGCCTTGCATGCGGGTACGTTTTTCTAGATTCTTCCTAAACTTATTTTTTTGCCCCGCTTGTTCCTCTGCTCGACCAACACCTGGAGAAGGGTAGGCATTCATACCCAAATCCTTTTTCTCCGCTGTCTCGTCGAACCACTCCTTATTAGACAAAGTATGTAGGAGAAGTGAAGTAATTGATCGTGTTGGTTGTTCTAGCTAAGGGGGAATGCCCCGTATTCATACCAATGAGAGGTAGTACAAAAGAGATACAATAAGTCATAGACGTATGAGTAGGAATAGGAACGACTAATAGAAAAGTCATGAGTGAGTCATACGCCGATGACAAATACTATAATGAAATGATGAGAATCCTCCAATACTATGATACGTGCCGAGCGCCCTATATCAAGACTTATATCTGCGCATCCGGTGCTTATAAGAAGGCAGGCTTTTTTTCTACCATACTCTCCTTAGGATCTCCTCGACCGGTGCTATACACACAGTCTTTCAAATATATATACGCCCCTATTTCTTCTCACTACTGCTCGACTGCCATCTCCAAAGGTAGCTATTCTTGAAATATCAGTATTACGAGGACTTCATTTCCTTTAAAATAATTCCCTAGTCAAGAATCTATGTCAGGTAGGTGTTTCTGGACCATTTCTCAGGATTCTTCTTGACTCGATCTGCGCCGCTTAAGCAGACTTCGCCTCCTTCTTTTCTAACGTACCTCGTCTACCAGCACGCATAAATAGTAGACTTTCATGGTTGTCAGAATATTTCTCTTTTCCGTAGACTTTCTAGTTTTTCTCGACCGGTGCCTGTAAAAGAGGTATGCTCTGTCACAACTATCTGATTTCTCGCACTGAACCTCTTTGCCTTGCTATAGGTTCTAGCTTCACCGACGCCCGTAGAAACGCAGGACCTGCCTCCTCTTTTTACAGTCTTTTGCTAGACCGGTATATCTAAAAGAGAGGCCTAACCTTCAACAAACGATCCTTCCTAGTTCTACTAGACTTGCACCAATAAGATGGCAGGCCTTTTTGGCATGTGACTCTTAGGTAGTCCCTCCTTGCGAAAACCGTTTAATTATAGAACTCTCCTCGCTCTGCCATCACAGAAAATGCATCAGTGAAAACCGTCAGTAAAAGCATCGAGCCTAGTCCCGAAAATGCATCGATAATGCATCCCCAGTCGCACGTAATGTATCCGCTCTGGGTCGACCAGCGAAGTAAATGTGTCCGGAAATGAATCAAGAAATATCTGGGGAAAGTCGTTGCCCTGGGTAGCATACGGTAATATTAATGTATCAGGAAATGAATCGGGAAATGTGTGTATCCCGAGTGCAATCGCGATTGAACGACTTTCCAAATGACTTTCCAGCTTTCCAGACAACCTTCCAGACAACCTTACAGACAACTTTCCAGACAACATTGAACTGTATAAATCTCGTGCAGATGGTCGAGATCGAACTCCTACACTTCTCGATATCCAACATAGAGCTTACCATGTACACCATAATGTTTATACGAAGGATAGTCCTCATGTACCAGTGAAGTATATGCGTCTATTGGCGACTTTTCCTACACACTTCCTACCGCGAAATCGTATGGGGAATCGTATGTGAACTCGTTCACCTGCAATGGCATTAGGTATACATTTCCTAATTCATTAACTAATGTATTAATATTAGCGGATAGTGCATACGACCTTCCCGATGCATTCCTTGATATTATACCTGATACATTAACATTACATTGAACGCTTTACTAGTTAGCCTATGTAGCTGGCACCATACAAATTTCCGTACAATTTTACTGACAATTTGAGCTTGAATTTCGTCAGTAAAATCGTTCAACCGACAATTAAACAGAGGCCTCGACGTGTAATGCATCAATCGGTGTATTTAACTGACGATTATCTCTGGGTAACGCATCAAATGATGCATTTTTTGTGGGGGTAGAGTAGTGAGTCCGTACCTATGAGAGGGGGGACGTTTCCTCCCTTATCTTTCATAGAACCTTGCTCTTTCACGTATATCTCCTATCTCGCCGGTCTCGCTCAAATTGCTCTCCTTCCTAGAACTATCCTACATGGCCGGTATTTATACGAACATAATATTTGTTGTACATTCTCTAGTGTTCCCGTTACCAGCTACCGGCAATGTAGACTCCAAGAATTCTCCTTTCCCCTGGGCGTTCTTATTCCCTTGGTTCCGCTCTTTCGACTTACATGTAAACCAACTGCTCAACCGGCGCCTATACAAAGGAAGCTTTTCCTTCCACTTTCCCCTTGGTTTAGCTCATTGGGACTCTTAAGGTAGGGGTAGGGTTTCCTAGAACATTCAAATTTCCAAATATCATTTTCTCCAACTCTTCACTTGAGATCTGCTCAACCGCCGTCAGGAAAAGGGAAAGCAGTTCTTATTCCTTTATTTAACAGAATGCTGCTCTTTCCGATCCCTCATGCTTTGAAAGTTTGTCGAGATAAATGTTCCTAGGGTTAATAGGATTTACTACAAACACATTGCGCAAAATGAATTACCATCGATTTTGTCAGTATAGTAGCTCTCTTTGAAGCTTTGAAGTCGAAGAGCAGCTGCAGAGTAAGCTCGAGCTGACGTTACCCGTGAGGGTGGCTGCTTGTAGCTACTTGAGCTTTGAGCGGGAGACGAGGACTCAAGCCAGCTCCCGTTGTCTACTACTGCATGATAGGTCCCTGTATAAGAGCGCAGGATTCTGATCTTGACTCGAAACTATCCTACTAGGCAGATAACTATGAACGAGAGGCCTTGCTTATATGTCTCGTTTCTCCGGGGGGCTTGTCTCTTCGGAGGTTCTGCTTTTGCTGCGCCAATAGCTGATTAGTGGGTATGTAAGCTTCTCTGATTCAGTCCCCCCCCCCCCCCCTCCCCGGCGCGCACCCTCTATCTAGATACCTAGGAAGAGCGACCTAGGTATTTCATTGGGGTTCCTTGAGAACTCGTGCTTAGATGATTGGTCTCCGGCCACCCACCTGTATATTCTGCTTTGCACTGGATTT